ACCAATACGTGCGAGTCCTTCTAAAACCCAAGAATACGGGCGATTCACAATAGTGCGCCTCCAAGAGTTTACAACGCGTTGACCCAATCACAATGCACAAAATCTGTCGACCCTTCCAAACGCGCATTGGGTCGACAGATTTCGCGCACTGTGATTGCTCAACACGTTGCATACTCTTAGAAGCGCATTATTTTGAATCGCCCACATTCCAAGTCATTTTTCAGTGGTGTGTTGGCAACCTCCTTAGTAAAAGCTGTTTCCCCGCCCACCCGCCCTCTCATTGCTTTCTTGAATTAACCATGGCAACAGTGATCGCTGCTTGGCTGTGCTTGTTTGCTCTGGGATTGTCGTTCTGTGTGGATGTTTTGGTGTTATAATTCAAGGAATTTTTGAATTGTTTTACTCTGGTTACGACTCACAAAATAATGTTAATAATTTTGCACATCTCCTCAGAGGCAAAAGAAGCTGTGAACTGTTCGTCTGTTCACCAACCTCCCTCCTTTTTAAAGCGCCCCGCCCACTTGGATCATTTCCGAGATTCACCTTCTTAAGTAACTTTGTTGCTATTTGCTATTTTTTTAATCTGCAGCTCTAACAACATATAGGTTTCTTTGTTTGTTTGAGAGTAATGCAAATTAATATTTTCGTTTTATTGCATGCGTCGCAGCATTTTGTCTTTGAAGTGCAATAGATTTAAAAAGAAAACGTTTTGGTACTTTTTGCTTGTGGAGAATAGCAACATAATTTATGTAGCGTGTGCATAGTGGAAAAGCACCGGAGATGATTCAAGATATATTTTTGTCATTGAGGAGGGCTTGTGCTTGGCTTTTGAGTAACACAAAGACGCGTGATCTGTCGATGAAAAACGAGTTTCCAAATAACCGCGTGCATAATAAATTCGAGCTAAAAAGTACCTGTTATGATAAATGCCAAACCTTGCTCCAAACGTTGCTTTTTCGTATCATGATGAATGAAAGGTTCAGCGCACTATTTAAGATAAATTTCAAGCATTTTATATTTTACTAATATCGAAAACTTACCAAAATTTTTGTACAGACAGCGCTTTAAAACTAAAACCAAAAGTTAGCCTTATGAGAACGAAAAGCCTTTTAGTGATGATCGTACGTGCGCTTTGTTCACGATGTACATGTACGTAATTTTGTCTGTACAAGCAGAGAAAAGGGAAGTAATTTTATTGAAATTTTTGTACCAAAATAAGGATTGAGGGTCAGGTGTTGGCCGGTTTCGGTTTCGTGTGTGTTTTTGTGTGGACATCTGATCTCTTTCAATGCATGCACTATGCAATATGGCTTACATGCATGGGCGTCAGGAAAGTATCCGCCTTTTTCGAACGAAAATGATTGACTAGACTGTGGAGCCCGCGGTGAGGCTTGGAACATACACCTTTGGTCAAATTTTCTCAAAACCTCGGCTTCGTTTCCTTGTTGGGCTCAACAGATACAAATCCGATATTATTTTCGCCTTTAGGCTGAGTTTGGAGAAAAGGTCATGGCTGTGTTTTAGGCCACGTGACTCATGAGGACGGATGCGTAATTATGATGTGGAATTCATGCATTCTTGTTTTTAGCTTTTGGGAGTTGTGCGTTGAATGACTGTTTTATGGTGTGTGACGGTAATCGCCCGAAACAAACAATCGTCAGTAAAATGTAGGCATCCTTCGGCTTTTATTTTTTTATAGATTTGTGAATGTTCCAAATATGGATGCCGCAGCTTGAGAGATGGGAATTTTACGCATATCAGCTTGAAATGGTTAAAGGAAATTTCTTGGCAAATTCGTCAATGATTCGAAAGCGATTTTTCACCTCGACAACAATCCACTTTTCTGGATTAATCAATTATTTACCAGTCGAACTGCACCGAGACGATCGCTTGAATTCAACACATCTGTTTGATACTGTCAGGTTTCATAACATTTGCTCCCTGTGTTCTGAAAAACGTATTTTTTCCAATATCTGATTATTCTCAAGTCAGAAAAAAAAGATAGATTACTTTTCATCTATTTAGTTGGGAGAATTTATTGAATCAGAATTCTGATGGTACCTTGTTAAAATTCTAACGCCTTGTGATAATAAAAGTCTGTATGAATTTATTTTTATGTAAATTGCAGGACAATGATTTTGTATGTTAAGAATGATTTGAACAGGTCTGTTTACGGCTCGTCCAGAAGGAAGTGTTGACATCATCGACGGAAATAGATTTTGTCAAGCTGTAAGGTTAACATTACATCGACCGTTGAACATACGGTCTATTATTTTTCGACGTATGGAGTAGAGGCTATGACAATGTTCGTTTAACTTTCGACTGACCTCGCCTTGGTTACTTATTGACGTTCAATGCCGTGCCTCCGCGCGATGGTCTTGTTTCCAGGCGAAGTCTGAGTGTCCTTGACGTGCTGTTGACGCACACAAAGAGTCGCGATTGATAATTTCCTACACTCACATTAACAGTGGCAGGGATCATTTACGCATGCACATGCGAACTCCTTTTCCCACAAGAAACATGTCCCCAGTACCAGCAAAGACGGTCCACCTTGGGCACCCAGCCCCCCCCCAAATTCTGGATCCGCCCAGGGTAACACCACCCCTTCCTTCAGTTCGAAAAAAAGACCAGTGACAAACGGGGTGACCAGCCAAATGTCATGGTAATATTATTCTGCCGTTGCTTATTCCCGTAGCGTGTCCTGAAAACCTACATTAACCGGTATTCAGCGTTTAACATCTCTGGGCCAAAAAAAAAACCATTTGCTTCTCCTGAAAGTTAGGTCCTTGAGCGTGAAATTCGTCAAACCCTGAGGAGAGATTACCCCTAGATGCATTTTTTTTGCAATGATACGTAGGATAATCTACAAAATGAAAGAGTGTCTGGTTTGCGATTGTTTATGCGAGCGCTGTGGATATTTAACCGACCCTGTGTTCTGTTCGAAGGGCTGCTTTAGACATGATGCCGCCAAATTGCGATCCGCAGAAATACGCTTAAGTGATGTTCAGACAAAACTGGATAATGTACATGTACTTAACCAGAATACGAAAAAGGGTAAACTAGCCAACGACTATTATGTTAATTTGCATCTGTTGCTAATTAGGTCTGCGTTTTCGGTGGACCGACGGCTATTTTACGAACGGCCGCTGCTGCGAGAATGCCTTGCCTGGCGTTGTTCGTTCTCTGATGAAAGTAACGGCGTGGATACACTCAGGGAAAATTTCTGAAGCACAGACGAAAACTGCAACAGTAGTTGTTTTTCACAGATAGCGGGTGCAACAGGGTACCGTCGGCAAAGCAGAATATTGATCTCAAAATAATGTCTCCGTTTGGTACGGAGAAATTCTCAATTATGCTCGTAATAACGAATAAGGCAATAAGCGATGTTGGATTTAGCGTCTGTATGCTAAGTGTTTTGCATTGAAGAGGGCTCAATGGAGGAAAAAGTATTAATATTTTACTACTGATAAACAAGGCGTCCGACAAGTACCAGGAAATGTGTGCACTGTTTGGTTATTCTGCTTCCTCGAGGGCAAGAACAATTTATCTCTTATGTCTGTTTGTTTCCAACCCTTGTGTGGCATTTACACGCGATTTGAAGTTCCACCTGTTCTATATTCAATGGTTAAGGAAAGGATGGATTAGCAAATGGTGAAATCTTCAATGCTCGATTAGCGTCGTGTTATTTCCTGGTTCAACACACAGCACAAAGTAATCTAAAAACGCTTGGCGTTTGTTCGCGAGGGAGGATTCTGTTGAGAGTATAATGGCTAAACGTAGGCCTACCCGTGTGCCTGGTCACAGTGACTTAGCAAACCACACTCACGGTTTGCACAAAAAAGCATGCACTATTCTCCATTTTATTTAAACCTCCCGTTTCTCAAGGGCAGATCAAGCCGTTCAAGTGGGCCCCGACACGCGAACCTTTTCTATTTTTTTCCGTCAAAAGTATCGTCTTTGGAAACAAACATTAATGGTGTTCAATCTAGACACCCAGGGGCGGATTCGGGATTTTTTTCCGGGGGATTTCAAGCCGGAGAATTTTTTATTTTCTCACTTTTGCGGAAACGATGATTAAGCATTATACATGGCATGTATTGTTTACAATGGTGTTAGTGCACTTACTTTAGTTATTTTTTATTATTTGCCCCAGCTTTACTTCGTTTGCTCAGAGCGGGGGGTCTACACCCCCTCCCCTCCACGCCTGACACCTCATACCAGTGAGATATCAGATATAATTGTTAATTATTACATCCTCACCTTTTGAGGCAGAAGCATTATTGTTGCTAGGATTTTTCCACCGGGGAAACCTCCTTTTTTTTAAGAGCAAAGTGATTTCTTGGGGCATTAAAGCTTTCATAGTTGTCATTTTTCAATGTTGGGACGTCCATGGCCCCCACTTCAAGCAAAATAGAGGGACAATGTGCGCGGTTACGACTCGCAGCACGTTTCCGTACTCTGATTGGCTACATGCAAATTATTAAGCAAATTGACCAATCGAATGAACGGAAAGTTCCACCTCGAATTATGCAACACGTAATAAAATTTCCCTCGCGCGATAATGGTTTCTTCAACAGTGACGTCATATCTAAAGATGGCGGCGAACTCGGCCGGTCCAACTTCAATCGAAAGTTTAACTTCACGAATTTGTAAGTGGATTTGCAATCACTGGAACACTAAAAAACATGCAATAACAGCAGTCATTTGTCTAGGTGTCTGTCAGTGAGTAGCGAAGTAGTTTTGCCCTGTTTCAGAATTCAATCTTAGTTTTAACCTGCAACAAAGTGACTGTTCCCTTTTGACAATTCCTGAATCTGAAACAAATCTCAATATTGATGCAAAACTCCTCCATCTGTACATGGCAGTAGGTAACGCTGTCCTCTTTCTGGACTCTGTTTTCAAATCTCATTTAACATGTCGTGTCAAATGTGGATACAGTCAACTCTTATTACAAAATTTGATCCAAATATTGACTGCAGTTTCGTTAAATTATGCTTCAGCGTTAAACAGATTCAGCGTCATATTTTGATTGGATGAGCTTGACAGCCACAACTAATACTACCTTAGCTTGGGAAACCTCATGGATAAAACACGGGACCCTGCTCAAGTCAGAGATGCCATACTTAAAGGTAAACCTCCTAGAATTATGCTTCCATGAAATTTCATCAAATTTTACATAATTTGCTTTCACCTCAGAAATGTTTGAAAATAGTTATCTAGGATATAGTTTTCAATCCTGTGGATGAAAATTTTAGTTTTCTGAGAAAGTCTTAAAAACCGGTCAATCAGGATAAAGACAAAGACATATATCAAGGTGAAAATTTCTTACAAATTTGCATCACTCCCAACATTGTTTACCATCTGGAAATAATGAAAAATTTGAATACCCATCGTTACCCTACATCATTTATGAATGGTAAAGAAATTGAGGCATTTTGTTTGTCTTATTTGACTGTCAGTGTTCAGAGCAATGACAAGGTCTCCCAAAGGTGGACCTGCCATTGTCGTTGGACGCAAGACTCCTACCATCTCCAAAACAGGAGGAGGTAACGCTTCGTTTCTTCAATCCTAGCTCCACCACCTCTTACTTGTCATAATCCACAATACGGCTTTTCAGTGATTCCGTTTGGGACTGTTTGATTTAGCAATCGTTGCTGTACAGAATGCTCAGTTTTTGATCAACCAAAAAAAAACATGTTTTGTTCAAAAAAGAATATGCCACTGTGTCTTTGATTTGACTTATTTAGAAAGTTTCCAGGAAAAAAACTGCAAAAGTTTTTGGATTATGATCACTAACCCATTAAATGTGAAAAAAAATCGTATTGAAAATGTGGAATCCAGACACTGAAATTCTGTTTTACAGTAAAAACAGCCACAGAAACCTTTCATAAGTACCAACTGTATGACAGCGATGATGTGATGATAAGCGACGGCATGTGCACCCCGGAGAAACAAATACCCAAGCCCAAGAAAGATGACCTAATGCCCGAGAAAGTAGCAAAACCCTTGGACAACGAAACGAGAAAAGACTATCATTGGCCGCGCACTTCCACTGTCAAAACTCATCAGAAGGAAAAGAGGCGGAAATCCCGAGCCGAGAGGAGTCGCAAAGCTCGTCAGAAACAGCAGCAGGTCAGAGAAATACTGAAATTGATAATTTTGTAAATATCTCAAATGTTGTTGATCTTTCTTACAGGACAGTTTTGCTCAAGAAAGATTTAGTTCAATAAATGAGATTCGTGCAGCTTTTCCTTTAAAAAAGATGTTCGAACTGCAAGTTCTTTTTAATATTGCATGCACATGATTGATTAATTATACAATGCACTGTAATCACGTCTCGACTACAGGTAGCACTGAAAACTGCACTGCACACTGCCAGTCTAATTCTAACGATACAGGGAATCATAAAAGTCAAATTAAGTCCAGATTTTCAGCTGGGGAAAAATACTAAAATTCAGGATAAGTTCCCTTTTTCCCTTTGGTCTTTGCCTCAATCAAAAAGTCCGAAATGCCCTGTGCTTGCATTTGAAAAATATATGTTGACAAATTTATTTGTTTTTAATCGATCAGTTTTTTTTCTTTTACTCAAAGGTTGATCCACATGAGAGAGCAGAATTTAGGAAACATGTCAAGAAAGCCAAGGAAATATCTTCGGTAAGTAGGCACTTGAAATTATTGCTTTAAAAAGCTCTTTAATTAACAGCTGTTTGCCAGTAAGCTGAAAAAAGTGTTCAGACAAAAATACAGGTTTTAGGACAAGGAATATATGCACCAGTGGATTTCTGATTCTGATTTCCGTTGGTCCAATGAAAGATCCGATCTTTCATAAGAACAGTCTAGACAGATACATGTAGATCTCTTTTGGTGCTTCTACTCGTTCAAGTAGGAAATCGCTTTAAGCTTTCATGGCTGCTCTATATGTTGGTTTGAAAAAAAATTCATTAATTCTACGGCCTTGGAAATATTTGTGTATATTTTATATGCAGTTGCAGTGTTGCCATTTGTGTCATGTAAATTGTGAGTAATACGAGATATGAGTACATTTCAAGTTAAGTCTGCCGGGGGGGGGGGATGTGAAGTGGAATTGTGTATTCAACATTTTTTCAGGTAATTGTGACGCTTAATAATATGATGAGCCAGTGGGTAGTATTTCACGACTGGTGTCCAATCACATAGTGTTCATTAATTGGATTTTATCCTAGTGGTGCAGGACCCATTTTCACGGTTCTGCCAACCATGGAATTGCAGGCATATGATCGACCTTCCATCATGATGTCCATGCTTAATAGACAAGTAATTGGATTCTGATAAACCAAGCCAGCATTTAATTCCTGCTCAGTGTGGGATTTATGTCTGCGTATTGTTTGAATTACGTGTACCTTATTCTCCTATGAAATACACTAATTGCTGCTACAATTTTTCTGCCATCGTTAGCCAAAATTCGTAAGCTTTACACATTAAGCAGATATCAGGGTCCAAGATTAGAGGTCATTACTGGAGTGTTGCCATATTAGCAAAGAGGTTGCACGTGCCTGTTAAAGTCTTCATCGACAAGAGGGATACGTGTTTACAATTTGCTGAAGTGCATGTGCAGCGTAACTGTGATGTACCAGCAGAGTAATAGGATTGCCTCAGATGGTTTGTTGAAAGTGTATCTTGAAGTTCAGGATTGACTTTATTGTAAGCACCCTTGTACCCAGGGCTGTTTGTATAGGGTGGATACAGTGTACGGTGGTGTCATGTATCGCTTGTGTAGTGGTCTTCCTAAATTCAATTTTTAAGCAGCTTCTCCTTAGATGTCTGTTCGTGTATATTTTACAAAACAGGTACTCTCAAAGCTCTTTTGGTGCAGTATTTCAGTGGCCGCAGGGCTAAATACTAATTCCGTCAATTTTTTTCATATGTGGGGATCAAATGAAAAAAGTAAAATTTTATGATTCTTTCAGTTACCCCTCGTGATTTTTTTTTTATACTTGACAGGACAAAACAGGGTGCTGTTCTATTCATCGATAGATAGGATTTCACATTTCACAAATTTCGCACAGATGGTGACATGTTGTTTTCACTGCATTGCCTGACTGCATGTACAAGGGATAGCTTCAGATTGGAAAGATTTCCAAGTCGAATGTTCTGATTTGCTGCTGTAATGAGGAGACTTGCACAGTCAGTGTGCGAGCTAGATGTCACCAACGATTGAACATGCTTGATCGTAATCACGTATTACCTGGGGGAGTGGGGTCTCATCGAGGAAATGCATCACCATCAGCAGTTCTTGGACAAGCTGAGAACTGAGCGACATAGACACAAGATGCTAATGACATGTAGAGCTATTGGGATGCATTTTTTATTCAAAATGAGAGCGATCAGGGAAGTGGTATTTTTTTCAGGACGATGGAACCCTGTGGTTTAAATTGTTTGAACCCGTATTGTAACATTTAACCATGCCGATGAAAAGAAGCAAACTCATAACTATTTAGCATGAAGCTGCATTTTGTCACATCCATACTGTGAGTACCTTGACACAGGGCCAATTTCATAGCGCTGCTTAGGCGAAAAATTTGTTTAAGAGTGAAAAAACCTTGCTCGACAAATCAGGCTACCAGCCAAAACTTCTAGTGATGAGATGTGGTTTCATTTTTACTATATGCTTTTGCTCACTGTGTGTTCAGTATTGAAACAAAAGGTATGGAGAATTTATTTTTTTTTACTTGTGCATGTTTGAGAGGTAAATAAATTAATTGGTACCTTTTTAACAATGTCAATGATCAAAAAAATGACCTGCTTGTGGAAACACAGATTTTAAGACACTTAGTGGAGATGGGTATTGTCTGTGGTACAGATGTATGATACTTCATAGCTTACAAGCACAAAATTTCTTTAAGCGTGAAAAAACTTTGCTGATAAATCAGGTTACCAGCCAAAACTCCATTTGATGTATATTGTTTTGGAATAGGATTTGACTGTCTTTTGGTTAGCATGACAATCACATAGCCTTTGTTTTTCAAGCAAGTTTTTTTGGCCCTTAAGCAAATTGTATGCTTAAGCACTGGTTATGATTGCATATCATTGCTGGTAGATATTGGTGTTGAAATGGCCAGGCCAGAAAGGGGCATGCTTAGTAGATTTGAAAGAAACCCCATTGATGCAAATCAGTTCCTCTTCTCCGTTTGCGAAACACAAGATTTCATCTGGGGTCTTGTAAAAACGATGAAATGCAAAGTTATGGTGAAAGTAGAGTCCGTTACAATTTGTTCAAAGGTTCAGTTGCCACAGAAATATGCCTGACCATCGCACTAGTGATACTGTATCCTGCATTCAACACAGTCTTGGTAACACTCTTAATTAAGAAATGAGGAAAATCCGTCGGTTAATATTCTTCTGTTTTCCTGCACGATTAAATGCCTCCATCACTTAAATCATGGAAATGTAAAACACGACTTGTTTTTGAAGTAGCAGTTAAATCCTCCTCAATGATCAAGTGAAATGTCAAGCTTTCCTTACATTTTTGTGTTAGTCATCAAACAGTTTACAGCAGCAAGGAGTCAAAAGAGATCTACCCTTTTAGACGTGATTTTCAAATGCACATATAGATGAAGGCAGGATTTTCAGTGTGATATTTCAGTAAAGGAAGAGATACTTAATCACATGCACTCATAGTACACCATAACATGCAGTTGGCATGCCTTGAATGTTGAATGCTCCTTGCACAGCTGTGCCGACCTGAGATACGAATGATTTGCTTTTCTGGAGTTGAACCTGAAAGGGCAGGGATGGAGTGACATAGCAAATCCTGCCCCTTTGTATTTGGGGGGTATTTCATGTCATTTTAAAGAATGACGTGTTGATGGTTTAAGACCAGTTTTTGCAAATTTTGAGGTAGAATTCTCACAAAATATCAAATAATCAGTTTGTTTGTGTGTTTGCATCATTGCATTTGCTGTACATGGAAAAAAAATTTCTTTTTTAGGAGGTAATCATTGCCACAATTAGTAACTATGCTTTGTTTTGTTAGGTTGTCTTTTGCGGCATTACATTAGAATAGAAAGTAGGAACTCTGCCTTTCTCCCTTAAAAGAGGAAGTAGAACACGGCTTTCCTTACTGTTGGGATGCTATTCTTTCCTACATGTACATTAACTGGTCAAGGAAATCACATTTAGCGCACAAGAACCGTCTACCTTGAAAATGGTTTCAATCCATTATGATGAGATTCGTTAGTTTGTCAGTGTCCCTGGGCCAGATTGCTCAATTAATTATGGTTTCCCTGTAGCCTTGCTTTAAGGAGAGAACATAACCCCAGGTGTCTGGAATTACAGTTCTGTCAGTTGATGGTCAGTTTATTTATTCTGGTCCAGGAATCCACTTGCTGTCCAAAACTGGTCGATAAAAAAAATGAGATTGCCATGTATTTTGAGCCTGAAAATTGACAAGGGAAACCTCAGCCTTTGCTGTTTATTTGAGATTTGTTTTGATGATTGCTTCTGCTTGGAATTACATTTACATTGCTTCAACATGTAATAAACACACGCCCTTATGAAAGATTAAAATCTTCACTTCAGCCATAAATAGCCACAGTAATATACCCTTTGAATGTATTTATATAAAAGTGTTAATACCGTGCCTCCATACACAGGCTGAGAACTCCATTCTTAAAGGGCAAGGCAATTTACTTCTCCGCAACTTAGAAAACTTAGAAAATCAACTTGTCGACATGGAAAATTTTCAATGGGCATCATCAAGGCAGTTGCTTCCGATGCCTCTGTGAAGTTCCTTTCATTTTATATATCATTTGGTCCAGCTAAATGTAGTAAGGTTCATCTGTAAAAATAATTCAGTTAATTCCTGATTTATTTTACAAATTTTTATGCTTTCTATTTCACTGTACACAGCCTGGCTCTATAGCATTTTTAACTCCATAAGTCTGACAGGGTTCGGTCATTTTGAACTTTGTTACAGTGTAGGTACTCATGAGGCTCCTAGGACAAAAGACAGAAGATTCTTTTTAGTTGACTCAAAGAATCCGTAGTGGAGTAGAATCCGTACATCACGGAGGAAGAAACTTCCTCCATGGATACATTGATGATGGGAAGTTTGAATCTTTTCCTTTTTTTGTTCAGCATTCTCGCATTGACAAGGCTCTGCAGGACCCACAGCCATTCTCAGTCATAACCCAGAGCAGGGTCACAGTAAGTTGCATGTACCCACAGCTAAAAAGAAGACAAGGATTGATAAAACAAAGAGATTATCGATGTTTGGAAATGCGTGTACGTTAACATTAACAAGTAAATCATGTAGTTCAATTTTTTGGAGGACTGCCTGCATGAACAGTATTCTTGAGACCTCAGATTTACTTTTGTTTCTGTCAGTTTTCTTTAGTAATTGAAACATTGACCAAAATTTTCGCACAAATAGCATGATATCCCCCCCCCGAAACTCTACAATATATTAACTAATTGTCAACATTTGAACCACCTGCCGGATTTGTGCGTCTTTTAGTGTCAAATTGCACCTGGGACTTTGTAGTGTATCGTGAATGGCTACAATTAGTGTAAATAATTTACTTGAACAGGGTTTATTGCTTGAAGCTCTCCTAAGACTGTGCCACTCTCAGATAGTCATAAATGCCTATCATCTTTGGAAAATAAGAGATACATGTAATTTTATGCACATATATTCTGTTCTCCATTTTCATAGAGACCAGTTGGAATTTACAACAAAGGCAAGAAATCTGACAAAGTTTATCGAGGTAAGCTCCTTGATTTGCCCTCCGATTTGATGATAAAGTCTGCATTTTGATAAACAGCTTGGTAATTGAATCGATGAAACTTGACTTGTCTGGTTTCGAAACTCTTTTAAATTTCTTAGCAGCTCCGATCCACGTCCCTGACCGCGTCAAGGAAGCCGTGGAGAAAGGTCTCAAGGAAATCCTGAGCACCTCACCGACCAGCTCCCTCCCCCATGCCCCTAGCTATGACTCCCTGCTGGCTGATAGGGGTGGCACCCCTGCATGTAACACAGAGAAAAGGTGTCCTGCACTGGCTATCAGATCAGTAACAAGGTGAATTGCTCGGAAAATGCTTAGGGGAACCACTCCCAACAGCTTCAGGGTCCAGTCCAAGATTGAACTCTGTGAAGGCTGCACTGATTTTTTTATGTATGAATATTTTCTTACACTGACTTTGATCAGCATGTATAAAGCTTCTCGCTTTTTTCTTTGTTTCATAAAGGTCTCGCTGTTCAATATATGCCAATGAAGATCTAGTTTCGGACACAGGAACAGAGGAATTGCCGAAGGTGTCTGTCAGTGTTGAAGTGGAGACCCCTTCTGACCATCACAAGACCCCACTAGACCACCACAAAACTAACACAAGACCTCCAGTTTGAATTCAAGTCATGAGTAATTCATACGATCTGCAACAACAGCATTCCATCGTCATTCTCTCTGTTACGTGTGACTGGTCTTGTGCGTGGTCTTGTTTTGCTTTTGTTTAGTTTTGGTCTCAACTACATGTACAGCACAGGGGTCTTGCTAACTAGCAATTCAATTAATTTAGTGATTGGTAAAATGATAATTTCATGGCCATCAGTTTGTTGGTTTGGAATCAGGATTTGCATTTCACAGATCTAGTTGGAACTGAATTTTCATAAATCAATTTCCCTACCCTAACATTCAATATTACAGACCCATTATGTCAAATGGAAAGATTTTCTTGAATTCTGTAATCACATTTCTCATTTGCAGGATCCACCATTCGTAGAGATTGCCACAGATCTAATGGCAAGCCTGGATGTGAAGATGATATTCCCAGATCGAGGTGCGACTTTAAAATAGTCAGCTTTTTAAAATCCGATTAAAAACAATTACTTGCTCTTCTGATGTTTTGCTCCAGTTGGATAGGAACATACATGGAAATTTCAACTTACTTTCGTTTGCATGTTTAGATTACTGTGAAGAAGTGCAAGAGGATTTGCTGAAGATCATGAAGCAACACAGGTACCTGTCCTTTTTTTTCTGGCCTTTTTATCCACCTTGCTTTTTCTTCAGGACTTGTGCATACCCTTTGACTCATCCTTCTACACTCTCTTTCTTTATGCTGCAAAAGAAGACTTGCTTTTGATGTTCTGTTCCTGCCGTATCGATGTACAGCACATGCCCACTTGTTAATCCATACAGCTTCCATCTGTTGGTTCCCCTATGCCAATTTCAAAGAATTGGAAAGCCAAGCAGGAAAGTTTCACTGGACCAGACACATTTGCTGGCCCGTTTCATGCCAGATGTAGCTAGTTGTAATTTTTTCATAAACTTGCTATTGAAGCAGCTTTTCATGAGGCTCGCGCGGGACAGAGGGCACAATTTTCCAAGCAATGGATGTTCCCTTGGTGGGAACTGCACTCTTCAGATTTACATACGACTATGAAATAATTAATATATACCTTGGGTAAGGGCAAAACCCGTTATATAAATTAACATCTCCCCAACGCAAAAATACATCTTGAAAAAAAAAAGACATCTTGAAGACTATGAAATGCTTGCGTTACAGTCTCGTCGCTACCAACAAACTGAACACTCCCCACCAACATGGCTCTTTTCCACCAATGAGGGGGTGCTTCTGCTTATATTGCACCACTCTTGACATGTGCATGTAGATGCATCATAAGAAAGTGTACCTGGTTGTGGAGAATATCTGGTACCTGTGCCAAACTCCCCCCCCCCACCTGCTTTTTTTTAACCTACTGTTTATCGTCAGTGTCTTGATGGTATGCTCCATTGTTTAGGGTCAGTGAAGGTGGTGATTGCAGCAAAACCAGCTCATATACATCAGGGATAGACGTTCTTCTGGCAAGACGTGCAGGTAAACATAGCAAGAAGTACCAATAAGTAATCAATGATTTTGCAACTTAATTTGGTCATTCATGATTGTGAGCTTTGTAGAATCAGTATAATTTTTCCATGTGAATGGGCTTAACCCTTTGACTGGATTTTTCCCACAGAAAAATATGATACGAAATCATCACAGACTCATAAATTAATGAATGACACTCCACCTCATGAAGTGTCACAGACATATGTTTCTGAAAGCCACCATGAGATGATGTCAGGACCACACCCTGAATTGCACAAAGGACCACACCCTGGACCACACCCTGAACCACACCCTGGAGATGCAGTGTATTCCTTAATACACAGCCTCGCAGAGCATGGATCACAGCCAGAATTGTACCAAAGACCACACCCAGAACCACGCCCAGGGTTACACCCAGGGCCACACCCTGGCCACACAGTTTATTCCTTTTCTCAAGAGAGTAAGAGTCTGGACCCAAGACATCTTCAGCCCCAGATGGTAAGAAATTGAATTAACTGGCTGTCACCAGAATGGTAATCTCAAGGGAAATCGAAAGAGTTGTGCACATTCAGATGAAAAGTGCTCTTTTATCTGTACACCTTATCAGTTTCTAAAAGCCTTATAGATCTACGCAGAACTCATTCATCTTGGTTTAAAAATACTCAAGAGATTGCATCTCAAATTCTCAACCATGCCCAACAATTTGTTCAAAACTGTTAATGATTGTCAATGTCGTTGTGTTTTAGGACGGTACAAGGTTGCACTTACCTGCTTCATCTGTGGAGCCAGTGAGCTATCACACCTTTGTACCGGAAGAGCACAGATCGGAGAAGCCACTTCACACCATCACAGACAATGGGCTTGAGTTCTTGAGGAGAGCTGAGGAGATAAGCGAGTTGAGGGAAAGAACAGCTGAGGAGAGACTAGCCAATGAGAAACTAGCCAGTGGGCATGCTCACGACCAACATGACTTGGAGAATAACCATGCAAGGGCATATCAAGCATGAAATGACTGTGGCATCATTTCAAAATTCCTATCGGTTGACTATAGGACAGGGCCATCCAACCAATAACAGTGACTTGTGTTGAGTGAATAATCGAGGGGTGTTGCTCCATTGAAACCACACAGCCTTGGAAGTAATGCAATAAAAAGGCATAATCAGTTAGAATTGGCCACTTGAGAACACTTCACCTGAAAGCCAACGGACAATAAATGTATGGGCCGGACCCTTCTGTCCGACACCTACCCCGATAAGAATTTTGAAATGGTGCCTGACCTTTTGTAAAATAAATTTCAGTTGCATGTCTTTGGTAGACTCTGTCTTTCTTAGACTCTATAATTGGTGTTTCTTTGCCATGTGTAACGAGAGAAAGCTTGTTTTCAGAAAATGCCATGCAAGGGTCTAGCTGAAACATTTCAACCAGCCTCTTCTTTGCTGGTGAGGATGCATTTCACCTTGGGATGGGTTACCCATACCCCAAACTTCATGGGCATCAAAAGACAGTTTACCTTGGGTGCATATCGCCCGATCATTGTGCCCGATTGGTCAATAGAATATGAAATCTCTAAATTTGCTTCCCTTTTTGAAATAATCATCCACAACCATGAATTAAAATGAAAACGTATTGGCTGATGGTAGAATTATTGACAAATCATGGAATAAAATTGACCAGTAACACCAAGATTGCCCAAACGGTCCTGCAGGTTGACTGATCATGCCCAACATAAACACTGCAGGCCGATAAGCAATCATACATAAAGGAGAATTGACATACAATTCCCGAATTTTACAAATTTCAAATACTGGCCATACTTAAAGTGTGCTAAGTTTGACCCCCATTTTGTAAGACTTGGTATGAATCTACCATCATTTCAACGAAGCAGCGACTTTTATGGGTCTGATGTGAGCAGTAAATTGTTTTTGTAAGATGATGACATCAATAACTCCTTTGTCAAGTGGTAGTTTTTTTTCTGAACTACCTAAAACATACAGTTAATTTTTTTTTATTGTAGCATGTGGAAAACTCCTCCAGTGACATCCTAGATCTGATCACTACGTCCCATCAATCTCTTGGTGCTCAACCACATCTGCAAGACTCCGTCTTCCGATTCAACCACTCCTATTCCCAGGACCAAGCCCAGAGGCCGAGATACGACCCAGCTCCGAGTCATCACCCCGATGACTGCTTATACCTTACTTCCAGGAATTGCTTTCAGGACGACTTTGACTGGGTTGCCAAACCAGACCGTCTGCCAACAAACAAACTGTTTCTACCAGAGGATTTCCGAGCGCACGATTATTCACGACCTGGAAAGGAGCATTTGTGGCAGGGGTGGAACAGCCAGTTGAAGAGGGGCAGGGATTCTGGGGATGACTCACCGATCTGGTACCCTACATATATATCACCCCATCAGAAGCCAAGAATGGAATCACCCAGCCCACCCAAGCAATACCCACAAAGGATGTACTAAAAGAACGATTCAGATACAGTAGAGAAGGTAACAAGAGCCAAAGTAAGTTTGTGACATTTATCCTTTTGATAAAAACACACTTTAATATTCTATTTTCATTTTTAGAAAATGTCATTTGTTTATTTCAAAGAGGGTTTGTTCATCTTCTGAAATTGTAGCAGTCCACAGAGGTTATTTACAGTTTCAGGTTCACTTCTGTTTGTTTACGATTTTATTTACAAATGTCAAATTAGAACTACCTGCCGCATTTTAAGCACTTGGACAAACCAATAAATTATTCACATTGAACATGATTTGTCTTGGGAAAGGAAAAGTTAACGGACAAAAAATACACTCAAAAGAGAACTGTTTGGATGTACAAAAATACACAGCATATGATTACAAAATAAATAGGACAGAAATAAGGCTTTTCTTTTGGTATAATTTTGAAGAAAAATCGTGCAGAATTCATTTTCTTAAAAGCTGCCCAACTGACTAGCATTGCAACTTTAGCATTTCTCTGCAAGTTGAAATGTGATTTTGCCCACGGAGTTGGGACTTGCTCCATCAAATGCCGAACCAAGCATAGAAAGTCAACTTCATTGTAGAAATGAGCATGATTACAGCTGAGCAATAATACGGAGGTTGGTGAGAGGAAATGACAAAATATGCAATACATCGATTGTTTAGCATGATTTTCAACCACATCTATAACCAAAGTTTTTAAATTTAATAGTGCATTTGCTTCCTGTTTTTGATTGAGCAAGTCTCCTTTTTCCTGGTATGCAGCTGTGCGGATTTTGACAACAGCAAGGTTACGAGGCTGGAACATAATAGTATGCAGAGCAAGTATCTATGGGTCGATCTGCGGAATACAGATTACTGTATGTGCTAAAAGATCATGACACTGTTGACATATATGTGCCATATACGAGGCTGAAGAAACAGGGGATTGGAGAGAATTTAGCACTTGAAGAAACGTGTCTGTAGTTGGCATGACGTGAAGGACTGTAAACCAGGATAGCGGATTAACATTTTTCCATTTGGAATGAGGCTGGTATTGGATAAAGTCCGATTACATATGGGTTAATGTGCTGTTGAAGATACACTTCAGTTCCTGCCCATACTCTGTACTTATGCAGGCCACCACGGTAAATTGGATATTTGTAGAATAAATAACAGTGTACAGTATTTGCTCCTGCTCAATGCCTTAGGGTTTCCATGTGATGACCTTGACAGCTATCTCAGCAGCTTTGACCACGGCTGGCGATTCATCTTCCAGCCGCTTCTCAATCTGTGGAAATGTGTGAAAAATTGAAAAAAGTACACTCAAATTGTCTACCAGATTCAACTGATAATTGGAAAATAAGATGTCGACCCAAGACAACAAATGATTTGGATCTGTGAGCGCTGTTAGCTGTTCAAGACAGTATTAATGGTTATTAAAGGTCCCTGGTATGTTAACAATATTTCAATTAAAGAATATTGGGTTGACGGAAGACATTTAATAATTTCTCAGGGTGGTATTTCAACCTGAAGCCCCTTGGAACAAAATCTTGGTCTATCATTGATGCTACCCAGCTGCATGTTCACAGAGAACTTGTATGGTGTTCATCAGATGATGGGTCAAAGTTCTGCAACAGGCAAATTGCTTCGTCCAACCAAACAGTGAGTGAAAGTGCAGGTGTCCCTCGTCAGCTTTTTAGTCTTGCTTTTTAACGGTACTTTTATATTTATTTGTAAGAGAAAGTCCGAAATGCTGCAGATTTATACTTGAAACAGCTGAGGTGACATTCATAGTTTGTTTTACTGTTCATTGTATTTTTTTCAAAACTAAGGAGCCAACTGCTTCAACTTTTCATCTTAAAAATTCAGCTCTTTCTGTCAAAAAGATTCAGTCTGTCCTGGACAGAAATGTATAATATGTTTAGAGGTTTCTCAGAGTATTTGATCAGTATTTTGTAAATCAAAAAGTACTTTATTCAAAACAAATTTTATGTACATCTATGATTTTTCAGAAATTGTTAGGGATATTTTAAACACCAAATCTATTCTGTGTGCTTAATTTCTGTGTTATTCACCTGTTTTGATATTATCTGGTTTCTTTATCAAAATTAAAGGAGTAAATGACGACTATGAGAAAGTAAGAGTGCTCAGGTCTGGAACAATTTTGTTATTTTTTAGGTTTAGGATTTTCCAGCTGTAAATAATTTTTAAAGAGGGAAAGGAATTTTACATTAAAACTGAATGACTCTCAGAGTTAATTGGAAAAGCTTGTGAGGGAATGACCTGTGAGGACCTGTGGAATACTTGTGACATGTAATAGACTTTGAGGACTTGTGATAGACTTGTGAGAACTTAAGATGAATTTGTTATGAACTCAAGAATGAAACTGGTAGGATCGGGGGACCAATCATGACTTACCGTGGACACATTTTCCAGCAAGGCTTGACGTCCTTCTGGGGCCTCAGAGAGTGTAGTGATCGCTTTGATGGCATTGAGGCGTACCTCACTGGTCTTATCGTTGACCAAGTTGACTAGCTTCGGGATAGCCATGGCCTGGATGGCCTTGTACTTGCCTTGTGTCGTGATCGTTATTCTACAAAAAAAAAGCGAAGGTGAACGTGAGAGTTTCAGATTCGTACAGATTTTTGTACTGTAGGGTAAATTAAGGTGCAAGGTTGATCAATCCAAAATCAATTTGGCAATTAATTGGCCATGCAAATTGATCGATCATTTATTACCAAGAAAAAGTACATATTTCAACTTTTTTATCAGCGTTTATGACACACCAGACATGAATATCAGATACTGCAAGCCGTCTTTGGCTGTGCTCTGTATTATCAACTCGGCTACTTCACACAAAATGTGAGATTGCCCTCCAAAAAAAAAAAAAATTGTTTTTGGAAGGCCACTGGCCTAAATGAAAAAAAAAAAAAATCCCCAAAATACTGATCACGATCCTGCATACTGCCCCACATTTCCCTGCATCACAAATTTCGTCAAGGAACTTACGTCATAATGGCTCCTGCTGCCTTGGCTCGGACCTCGGGACTGGCATCGCCCAGCAGAGTGACCAGTGGTGGTAGGGTGTTCACCTCACATGCCTTGTTCTTGCCATCAAGAGGAACGCTACACAGAGGCAACGAAGCAAAGTGCCATTCAAATAAAAAAAAAACAGTCTTTTGACATACACAGGTATTTGAGGAGCTTTTCGTCCAAGAATAAAGTTTTCAGTGATGGCGCCCTTTATGCATATGGCGCCCTCTTTGCCATATGAAAAACCGGCCCGTTTTTAGGTCATGTTTAAATCTGTTGAGGTGAGAAAGAAAGTGAACTCAACAATGACACAAAACACTGTTCTCTAATCTGCTGGGGATCTATTTCTGAGGCCCACAGCACCTGCTAATGAATTCCTTCCAACAGTTCAAAACCTGTTTGCTTTAATACCAATGGGATATTCACAGTGATACATTCTGGCCAAACCAATGCTGTGAATAATCTTGGCGTCTGCAGTCGACGTGTTAAAATAACTAGTTTACATTAAACTCGCAAGGATCTTGCTGGGAGTGGCGGGTTAAGGGGTCAACCCCCCCTTTCTCATCGCCATTTCGTTTTTTTAGGGCCTGTGTCTTAAGATTTGAAGACCCCCCTTAAAGCGTAAACCATTTAGGGGGTCTAATTTAGCATGTACGGTTAAGGCCAAAACAAATACACCATCATCATGGGGCCAATTTCATAGAGCTGCTTAAGTACATCTGCTTAAGCGTGAAAAAACCTTGTTAAACTCTATTGATTTTCATGCGAACCAAAACACAGCTAAATACGATTCCAAAACAATATTCATCACATGAAGTTTTGGCTGGCTACCTGATTTATTAAGCAAGGTTTTCTCGCGCTTAAGCAATTTTTGTGCTTTCGCAGCTCTATGAAATTGGCCCTCTTGGGGACACTTGCATGTACTATAGTGACCCCCCCTCCATATGAAGAACTTCCTGAACCTCCTCCCTAGTGACAAAATCCTGGATCTGCCCCTGTTTAAATCTAAAGAAGAGCATTTCTGCTGAGTCATCATGCCAGATTGTCTAGAGGAAGGCGTCTGCGCTTAAAAAATAAAACAGAATGGGCTCGCTTTACAGTCTTTTGACTTTTGGGAGAGTATTCTCCATCGCCGATGTCAAATTCCAAATAGTGCCAACTACCCTATAACTGTGATTGCCCCATTTGTCCCAGGCTGGTCCTGCCAGCACAGAAATCTTACCTCAAATCCATGATGTCCCTGGCCGCTTTGGCTCTGATGACGGGAGACTCGTGGTTCAAGAGATCAGTGAAGACTTCCATGGCTCCAGCAATGAGCGCCTGAATTTGCTCCAACACCAGGCAGAAATGGAGCGTGTCCAAAATGTACTCCTGAGTAATGACAAGCGGACCAGACCATTGATAAAAATGGGGGGCCCCCACAAATTATGCAATCTGTTTTTTCAACAAGCAGGTGGAAAATTGGTAAAGCCCCCAAGCAGATAGTATTACCCAGCGAACTTCTGCCATGAGCTAGAAACTCTGAGGAAATGTGACCTGCTCAGTGAAAATGAGTCACAAGATGACAGAGCCTTGAGGGCCTTGAGGAGGATCGTATTTGCCCTGAGTTGAAGTGCACCCTCATCGGCAAGAGAAAGACAGACTGGTATGACGTTTTCTTTCTCACATAAGTTCGGTGTGCATGCGAAACCATACATTCCAGAATAAATTTGCTGTGCATACTCGGCACGCTCTGCGTCAAACGACCATAAACTTGCACGCCTATGCAGGCGAGTTCGTACCAAAGGGCTGTCAATTTCATTTGAAGACAAGCCCTCTTTTGTTAATGCTCAGAGCAGATACAACATAATATCAACAGGAACCCTCCACATCGTTTGGCCACAGCATCCATTTTCATAAGAATGCCAAGCTGAGCTCAGTTTGCTCTTTCGTAAAAAACTTAAACTGTAGAGTAGCTCCATCGACTTCTGACTTGTTTTCAGAGAGCCCCACACAGATGCGGAGAGGTTAAAAAAATTAAGGAAATTAAATCATTCTCTTAACCACTTCCTGCCGGGGACTCCGGGATCGGAGACGTATGGTTTATATGAGTGTCCGGGGTCTCCGAACTCGGACAAAGGAAACAGAACCCTGTAACAAAAGACCGTACTCCGAACAAAAGACCAGGCTGCTGGGCATGACCAGCATTTTTCTCTCTCAAAAGTGGTGATAATCCAGCGTTATTTTAAACCGTATACCAGGGTTTGGGGCATTGAGAGCGAGCAGATTACCACCAGGGACAAAAGCGCTCCACCATCGCAGCGATGAGCCACTCAGCACCACTGCACGCTAATCTGGCCCCTATTGAAAAGAGGTCAGCAGTGCACTGAGCCAGGTTTGTGAACAAAAGACAGTTATATAACACCGCACAATCTGGGCTCTGTTTACAAGGCTGCAGGCCTGGCTGAAATACTCGGGCGTCAATGAAGGTCACCTATCAACTTAGAGTAGTGCCTACGGATTACTTTGTGCGGCTATAAATGACCGTTAAATGAAATGATGAATTTTTGAAGGATTTTCAAAACGGAAAAGATGATAGTCATGCCGGCCCAGCATCATCAACATTGAAAAATTCCCCAGCACAAAGTGGTTAAAGGTCATAATCTTGAAAGTGCAGTGAAGCACTCCTTGTTCCCCTGTTCCTAAGTGTTACAGGGTGGCGCTATTTCTGTCCAGTTTGGCTGTTTTCTACATGCACATATAGAGGGTTTGCACGGCTGCCATCTTGCAGGCCAGTGCTTTTGTTCCACAGGGTATGCACAAAGGAGGTTTCCACACAAAGCCTCTACTCCACGGGAGTGCAACCTTAATGGGGAACTTGTGGATTGCCGCCTTGCCACTGCTCACCTTAATCTCGTCCAGCTCCACCTTAAGCTTGTCCACCAGGGTGGGGATGAGACTGGCCTCCACTACCCCTTCGGCCCCCGGGGTGAAGTGGCACAGCATCTCCAGGGCCATGTGGGCATTGCGTCGGACGATGGCCAGCTCGTCGTTGAAGAGCCGGGATAGGGGGATGATGATGGAGAAATGAAGGAAGGCATCCCGGCCAATGTTGTGCCCTGTGAGAAAATTCAGAAAATCTTACGCTCTTTGTAATCCAATGAGACTGGGCTACAGCCACGGGGGGGCCACAGCCCAGAAGTTACATGTAGCACCAAGGGGCTTCCGTCTAGAAGGACTACACACATAGACTAGGATTGCTAGGGTTCAGGGCTTCCTTGGGCTCCAGAGGGCTACAGCTACAAGGACCTACGGCCTGGGTAAGGCCACAGCCCAAGCGTTTCTTAAGGTTCAAGACTGATGATATTATTACCTGCAATGATGTACAGTACTTCTGTGGCCTTATGCCGAACGGTGCCATCAGGATCTGTCAGCAAGGCTTTTAGACTCTCAGCACACCCTGTTGTGGAAATCGACAGAAAGCACGATTTTACATGAAATCAGGTGGCTTCAAGTAGTTTCAGGTACAAATATGTTGATGAAATGCCTGCAGTAAGAGGTGAATTTAGGACTCAAACTCAGTTGGTGATGTACTGAGATCTTGTCATGGAGCCTACTTGCTTCACATGGACCTCAATGAGCGATCCCAACAGCGGATCACTCAATCCATTAGGCGGGTTCTAGTGTCAATGAACCAACGAGAAATTAGCGATTGAGATTCGGATTTGTGTGATTTGCCACACAAAAGATTTGGCTGATTTTTGTCAACTTCAGCGTGAGTTAACTTGGCTTGACTTTGCTTTGCCCGTTGTGCTGTGCTCAAGGTCCTGAGATGAGGTTTGCGGACGACCTACCCACTCTAAGTGCTTCTGCAATGTGTTCGGGATCGTGCAGGTAATCACACAAGGTCATCAAAGCCCTCTGCCTGGTGATGAGCTCTTTGTCATTCAGCTCTCGGTTCTGAAATATGAAATAAAAGCAGGGAAAAGAAACCACGAAATGAGTACGTTGTAATCCTACTGAAGCATAATTCCCTGATTTCTTTTGTAAGGCCTACACTACAAATTACGTTGCAATAAATGAAGGGGGATTGCACTTCATATTTTTTTAACCCTAACCCTCCTCAATCCTCCAACAGGTGAAGGATTGAGGAGGGTTAGGGTTAATGTATACATCAGGCCTAGTTGCTTGCCATGTTAAAGAAACCATGACCAGCTCCAAGAGGTATATATAGAACACGGATGTTTCCTTTTTAAATTACGGCTAGTATTACAGTCAACCATGGAGGAAGGAAGACACCTCCATGAGCCAACATGCTGATGGTCAACACCGCAGCTTCTGTCTCAAACTAAAGTCAAACTTTATATATTAGGCCATGACAATGCCAAAAAATTATTTATTCACCAAAAAATGTATTATTTTCATAAAAAGGCTGTCCAAAAAATATACTTCAAATCCCAAATCATAAAGCAGCAATATAAAATGCGCATGCCTACGCATACCTACATGTACCTACTACATGAATGAAAATTCTCTGATACATGCATACGCACTGCTCTCGGTATGCATCGCGCATGGCTACTATCCTGCCTATGCATACCGTGTTGCTAAAAACGAGTAATGAATAATGAAAAAAGAGTCATGCTTCGCGAAAATGTTCTGGACGCAAATCTAAAACTTAGTCTTTCGTTCTCATGGCCTCATTGGTTTTAATTAGGCCTACTTATGGGTTTTCCAAGCTATCAAAAGAGAAATAGCAGGAGTGGAAAGACTTACCAACTTCGGTAGTGCCCTATCCCCGTATGCGAGTGGTGCTTTCGTTGGATCGATATTCGGTGGAAGTCTTGCAGAAATACGTGTCGTCGCCATTTCACAGTCGATGTCGGATATTTCTCAAAATTGACAGAACATTCACCACATTTATTCCATTAGCAAGCCAGAAAATAATAAAACTCTAAACGTTTTCTTAAAGCTTATGCTACAGAATTTCACAGTGCGAGATACTGTGCGAGGAAAGTGCGTATTAAAGCGAAAACAGCCTTCGTTTTTAGACGTTTCGTGTGCAAATCCTACGGCAGGCAGTACACTGGTTGCTACGTTACATCAATTCACCTTTGACACGAAGGTCAAAGCATGTATTGCATATGTATTAGGTCAAAGTTCAATTACGTCTTAGTAATGTTTTGATCGAAGAAAGGACGACGAAATTTGCAGTGAAATCTGTCACAAAAATCTTCGAAAAGAGACATCAACCTTTGAAAACTGAAATGGATCTATAACGTAGATGTGTTTGGAATGCAATTGACGTATAAAAATGGTAAGTTTAGAATGTAGGAAGCTACAGAATTGGTTGATTTCAGCATGGACATGATCCTGATGCCGTAAGCAAGGAACAGCTAAATTATTAAAAACGAAAAGTAGGCCTATGATTTCAGACATCAAACTCACGTCACCAATTGCAAACCAAATCATGACATAAGGCCTAGGCCTAACTAGATAACGGCAAGAAATGGAACAACCAGCAAATAAATTCTGTGAGACGAAAAAGTCACTTCATTTGAAAAGAATTTTGCATCCTGAAGCCTTTTTCTCTTGATCTGTTCATAGACCTAGCTAGGCGTACATTAGCCCCAGTAGTGTGGCACGGACTCTCACTCCCGATCCATCCTTAAGGATGGATCCTTAAGGATGGATCGGGTGTGAGAGTCCGTGCCACACTAGTGGGGCTAGGCGTACATGTATTATCATGTCAATGTCACAATGACATGAATGAAGATCCCTTTGGCTTTACTTTTGCAAAATATTGAAAAGTTGAAAGTACATGAATGAGGCTCAAAATCTCGGAGCAGTTACTCAGCAGACATGACCAGAAACAAGGGTAAAAATGTATATGAAACTTAATTTACAATATATGCTATTTGGCATGGCAGTGAATATTGGACCTTTAGTGATATGTTTTTCTTGGCCTTCCTGATTTAATTTCTTGCCTTTTGGCGTTTACAGCAAGAGGTAACCAGAGTTCTCAATCAGCCGAGTGAAAGAATGAAGCAAGCAGAATGAATGCACGATCACAGACATTTGAAGTTGTAAGTGCAGTAATCCAAAGACATCTCAAATTCTTCGAGCCGTGAAATTCCGTCGGAGCAATTGCGGAATACCTCATGGCTCGATGGGTGCCCCCAAGAATCAGTGGCTACAAGGTGAAATCCAGTATCATTGTCTAGGTGGTGGCTACGGGGGTTATGTTATGCCCTGGACATGACAGAGTTGGACACTTTTAGAAACTGAGGGATACGCAGTGAATTAGAGGTCTTGGGAGAAGGGAACGTTGAAATCTAAGTGCAAATGACAACCTGCCTCTGCCTTTGTTTTTTTTGCAGTCGGTGGAAGGAAGGCAGGTCGAGGAGGTAGTGTTGAGTCTTCTACACACTCTCTTATTCCACAGAACAACAGGCAAGGTAATGTCTCCTCGACTGCTGCCCAATTGCAGGATCCTGTGTGCCCAATAATACAGTATGGTGTTTGAAAAAACGAAACGGTGATTGAATTGAAGCACACCTGTGAGTTGGAGTATGGCTTCACAGGGTGTGGCACTACCCACCTGCGTGAAAGTGTTTTTGTCTCTACAATGGGTACTGGTTGTTGGAGTCGCAAGGCCACCAGGCGATCGTAACGATCAGATGTGTCTGAAGGCCTGTTGTCTCGGGCTGAGGCGAGGAGGTCTGATCAACCAGTGTGCATATCCCTGCCACTTGATATGCCCATGTGACGGAGCGGCCTCGCGAGGGGTGACGCCAGCCCTCTGGGGGGCTGGTGGGCTAGATGCTGCAGTGAGTGCACGCTTCGCTGCGACTTCATCTCCAAATCGCTCAGCTTGACCCAGTAACTGCAGACTGCCTCGCAAAATTGGTAGTGGACAGGGTTGTAGGAGCGCCTATTCGTCCCAACTTTTTTATCCTAATCTTATTGGTTCATTGTCTTTTTTTTATTCGGCAAACAGTTTCATTACAAGCAGGAAGGGACATACGCCATCGGCACGGTGGGCATGGTGGACGTCGACTGCGATTTTGTGGACTTCACCTACGTGCGCTGCCACTCGGCCGAGCTGGACCGCGTGCTGCGCAAGGAGGTCACAGCGTTCCGGGACTCACTGCGGTCCAGCGACGGCTCGCTCAGCAACGGACAGGTGGGTAAAGCGCACGATGTGGGTGTTGTTCATGGTCATGGCCCATTCATAATGGATTATAAAGAATTATTCCACAGCAAAGCAAGAATCTGTTAACATTTGATTTCTTACAGATTTCACTCGAGTTTTACCAGAAGAAGAAAAACCGCTGGCCATTTCCCGACGAGTGCATACCCTGGGAAGTCTGGACAATTCAGATTAACAACGTGACACTGTCAAATGAGCATGGTAAGACAAACAGAGGTGAACTTTTCTAGACTTCCACAGTATTTGCTTTCAAGGCAAAAATTCACACATTCCCAGCTGTGGTCTTCGGTGTCCCACTGAGGCCAAAAGAGTGTGTCAAGGGCAGCATTTAAAAAATGTCTTGTTTTATCCAACTTGACCATCCTGCAAATTTTAGGGTTAAAAATTTAGACATCTGATCTGTTTTTTCTCTCTTTTTATCTTCAGAGAGGCAGCTCTACCGCGAGAAGTTGGGCGAGATCTTAGGAGAGAAGGTGATTTGCATCACGGAAGCCATGGGCAGACACGACTACCTCCCCAAGGCGCCCAACCAACCCCTGCTGGACACCGTCTATGACGTCAGCTTCCCCGACGTACAGCCCTACCTGTTCAAGGTTAGTGTAGTCGGAGCACCGAACCTCAATGTCATCAGCTTGATGTCATCGTCTATACATTTTGGCCGTGGATGATGAAAACTCACAAAGCCGGTAGCCAGGATAGCTGTTGATAATCCAACAATTTTTGACGTGGTCTATACTGATATGGTGGCCACATCTGTCCGCAGACATTCATTCACCATACTGTTTGGCCTGGGGCCAATTTCACAGAACTGCTCAAGCACAAAATTTGCTTAAGCGCAAAAAAACACCTTACGTAAAAAACAAAGGTTACCAGCTCAAAATCTGTGTGACCAAAAAATGTAAAAAGACTGTCTGGAGAGACATCTGTTCCACAGATTGATAGGTACGTCTTATTCAATCATACTTTCACAGATCACTCACCAGACGTCAGGGCCAGCGAACACATCTGTGGGAACGACGATGAGGAAACTACTCCGCGATACGCTGGCTTTATGATGACCAAGGCAGGGTGAACTTTGCTCCAAAAGGTCAGGTATAGTGTCAGTGCGTCGCATAATACCAATGGGAATGAAGATACATCTTAAAAGTAAAACTTGGCATGCATTCAACTTCTGTAAATTTGCAATTCGAAAAGCTTGCCGTCATGTCACAGATGTTGCATTCGCTTTCATACCAAAAGAGGTGATTCATAATACAGTGCGCTGCCAACAGGTTGCCATGGAGAGACCATTTTTTTGCAGTGCAGTATGGGAAATGGTTGAGAAATGCATTTGCTGTCTGTGTGCTGGGAACTTCAGCTACCCTTGATGGTTTTTTTTTTCCCTGGTAAGAGGACTGACTCATAAGTATCAATTTTATGTAATGCTTTCCTCTTTCCGTTGCGCAGCATGCCCTGATCTTTAAAACATTTCAAGTTGCCATGTGTATGTCCGCCAAGAACTTCAAAAATGGCCTCTTTCTGGCAACCTCTTGGTGTTATGTTGTGTTGTGAATCACCTGCATAGAGGCTTCGCGTGGTAGCCATCTTGAAGGGCAGCTTTTTTGTTCCACAGGGAAACCTCCTCTGCGTATAACCTGTGTAACAGAAGCACTAGCCTACAAGATGGCAGTCATGCAAACCGTCTATTAGCCAATAGCTCTGCAAGTTTCAGATAGTGGACATTACCTGTTTGTAACTACCTCATTGGTTTTCATGTTGATGAGCTTGAGGTGAAAAATTTCACTGTCATATGCAGCAGATTTCAGGTATCATTTTTCACCTCTTGAATTGAGAAATGGACATATGAGGGCAAGTCGGAGGGACGACTACAGTTAACTAATTCAACTAACACCACCCGAATGATGTATGGTTTGAACTATCTAGGTCGACCATGTGGGCCCAGACCCCAGGGTATGGTCACTCCGCTGGTTATCAATAGCCGATTTCATTTATCATTATGGAGGGAACCATTCACACGAAAATAACTGTAAGATTTCAGTGACCACGTATGCTGGGAGAAGTGCGGCCAACAGTTTAGTGTAACGATGAGATTTGAAAAAATATATACCAGGGTCATTCCAGTGTAACTGAATCGTGCGCTGGCATTGTTAAAAAAGTATCCGACTGCTGGTCAATTTATTGCTCTTTCCCAAACATGCTACTCCAAAAGAAAACGTTCGGAAGTTGCAAAATCAGAGCAAGATGTGAGAATTGTCTTTTACCTCCACCCCTTGGCTTTCTTGAAAATCGTGGTTACCAACAAGTATTATACCAAGTGTAATGTTTGATTTGGCTGCAAGAAAAGGTGAAAATCTTGTTGACGCTGTTTTTCTTTAAACCGAATGCTTTGTCTACTTCTTACTCAAATGAAACCGAGACTATTTCAAGAATCTGGGTTTTTAAGTAATCAAGAAAATTGTATATAAAGTGGCTGTAAATGTTGTTTTTATTTTTTGGACCAATGTCGTCAATTTATTGTTTGTTTAATAATGTATTGCATTAACTTTTTTCCCCATGGTATACGAACCAGTTAGAACGAAGACATTGTTTCAATTGTCTGTATGAACAGGTGCATTATAATCATGGCCATATTAAAATCTCCTGTACAATATTAAAACGTATGATTCCTACGTATTTCAACTGGATACTTTTCAAAGTCCTCTGAACTGGTTAACTCACCACTGAACATGACGTGGCATATTTTTTTGTGTACATGTATTAAACTTTTCAAACTCAATGTTGTGAACGGGATTGTATTTTCTGAAAGTTCCTAAAGAAAAATCTCTTTAAACTGTACAGTTGGGTTTTGAAGAAAGCGTGACAAAAATGCGTGTCATGACGTTGTAGGCGTCGATGTCGTTGATCATAGTGGAAAACTCTTCTAGAATGTAATACTCCAATTTATCGACAGAAGCTGAGTACAGCGAAGGGTAATAAAAGATTCAGCTGTGGAAAATTCAGAATTGAATGAGGATACTGCGTGTGTTTCCATGCAACACTAACCGAGACAGAAATAACCCAGACAAACACTGATTTCAATAATTCTTGGATGATTTATTGATGATGGAATGATGGTGATGATGATGGTAATAACCTCAATAACCACTACAACAGGGCATAAAACCTGATTTACAACACTCATTTTTTTTTTTCCAAAAATTTTTTGTCCAAAAAACTTCCAACTGAAAAAAAAACTTGAATCGCACTTAACGCTTACGTTAAAAACACCTCCACTTCCGCCGTTATTTCTAAATCTGTGGATTTTTCATGCTTCAATTGTTTGTTTGTGATTGTTTGTTCGTGTTCTTTTGCTTCAGGCTGCATTACAATTTCCCGGGGCTCTGCTAAAGAGAACTGCTACGTGAACTGCTCAAATCACTTTATTTTCCTTTTTCAAAAAATGTCAAATCTCCCCTTTCAATGGCATGGACCAGTAAATACTGAAGAGCAGAGGCTTTGCATGGTAGCCATCTTGCAGGGCAGTTCTTTTGCTCCACACGGTAACTTCCTTTGTGCATACCCCGTGGAACAAAAGCACTGGCCAGCAAGATGGCAGCCACACAAACCCTCTAACATTCAACAGAGAGTAAAACCTTGTTTCACACATAGCTGGCGAGTATGAACACACTAAAGCTGTAAGGTGTTTTGGTCTATCGTAACCAGCAACAAAACTGACGGACATTTCTTCAACAACCACAGTGGTGTCTGTGATGACGGTTGTCCAAAATTGGCTGTCGTGTGCAAGTTGTCCTGAATTTCTGCTCACAGTTTTGTGTGACTATTTCTTGGGCAACGATGCATTGCATATTTGGCTTTCACAGAAATGATCAAATCAATACACGAAACGCGAGCAACCAATTTTTTAAGTTACATTACAAAGACACCAACCTTGCGAACGTCACATCTGCCTCGGTCTCACTAGACACATGGACAAAATGATATTGAATTCAATATTGACTGGTCACGTGTCATATTCAGGACAAAATTTCGTCTTGAATCACACTTGCAAAAAAGACATGTTTTCACACCACTTAAAAAATTAAGTGATGTCACAAGGCACGATGCGGGGGCTTTGTTTCCAAGCCAGTTTTTCTACATCAAACAATACATTATATTTGTACCAACATGAAAAACTTGCCTCCATAAGAATTAACACTATCAGGTATTTTCTATATGTCTGCACGTCACCTTTTCTAGTTCATCGTTGATTGCCACGGCAACTCACTTTTTATCCGTGTTTTTTTTTGTCGGCACCTAAGGATGCTCACGTATTACATCATCCTACAAACAAAATTCAGCGAATTATCTTCTCCGACAGATATCTTGGACACTGTCTGAACGTGTGATAAGAGTAACGCAGGCCTGGATTGGTCCCCCAGGACTCCATATAAAAATAGAAAACACCTGAGTAGGCGGAGCTTTAGCACCCAACTGCTGTTTACTGTGCAGACCAATGAAAAAAACTAGAGCACATAAAACAGTAGTTGGATTCTAACAAAACTTGCAAACCTTTCACTCACATACTTATAAACTTAAAACTCTCTTAAAACTAATATATATCTTTTTTTCCTTAATAAAAATAGCTACAATGCTTTAAACGTTACAAGCACAGAGAAAAAACAGGTGCTTGAAGTTTTAAAGATTCTTTGGCACACCATCCACAAAACCACAATTTATTTTAGGTCATGTTTGTTTTGAGTGACGATAAACCTATTTTTGAGCCCGGTAAAGCCCTTGCAGATCAAACCCATTTTTCAGCAATGTCTTGTCTTCACCGCTAATCGATGCAACAAACTGCCATAAACGGTACGAACATTTCAACATAAAACCCCTACAGATTGATAGTAATGTTTTGAATTCTCTAATCCTAAGCTGCTAGTTCACAACTAGAATAAACTGCAAGAAAACCTACAGTACAACTACTCCAAGAATTTCAACAACTTGAAAATATCTCTACGTACAGCGTCAACAGTTTAAACGTCGTTCAATTAATTCCAATGCAAGTGCAAAGTTTATCCGACTCTTTTTCCAAAACAACACACAGAGCTCCACTAAATTGCCTTTTTTTCAAACCTCGGCTCCGTTTCTAACATTCAGATCATCATCGACTTCAGAATCCACTCCAAAGCCTTTGACTTCTGGAAGCCAAATGTCCATATTTGGATATGAAAAGCCAAGGTTCAGTTAGAGCCCTGTGCAGTCCCGGCTGCCCTGTCCAGAGATATACTTTCTGATTGGCTGCAAACAATCAACCTGCCAAAATTCTGACCAAGGGGGTTCAGGGTAACAAAACAGAGCTGGTCAAGAAACATGTGAACCGTCTAATAAAAGTTACCCTCACGATGCATGTAATTCTGCATGGAACAGTGATAACCTGCTGGACAGTGCAGCCGAAAATATTCACTCCGTTCAAACTCACATGACTTCTTTCATACCAAAAATCATGTTCTATGTACATGTACGTCCACAAGCCCAACTCTTGTACCAATTTATGTTCAAATTTCCTTTCAGATAAACGTCATTACCTTATATAGAATGTACAAACATTCTTTTGAAGGCTAATTACTTGCCTTACAGGCCCTGTTCCTGTGAACTAGGGTTTGTATAGCAAGTTGGAAACCTAAACATAAATTCACATGAATAAGGCAACATCTTCTCGCAGTAATGACAGAACCTCGGTGATAAGTGCAGTCTTTAAATACTCAAAAAGTGAGTTGATCTTTTTTTCCTTTTTCAGTGAGACTGGAGCAAGTCTTTACATGATTGCAAAACTTAAATATGCAGGAAATGCGCTCTTACTCAAATAAATACCTGCTCATTTCACAACTGTTCCAGGCAAAGCCTTTCGTACAAACTCTACGAATATCTAAGTATATTGGGAATACTCTCAACATGCATATTCATGATATGCAAATGAATCATGGAATTTCAGGAGTCGCAAAGTCAATCTGTGATTGGGTGCTGTGGATAATAGTTCATGGAATCTATGCCTCTCATATGAATTTCCATAGCCTGAGACAGCTAATCGTTACACTGATGAATATTCATCAAGTCTGAAGAATGAATAATTCATATTTAATTTGTTGGAATGCGACTGGAAGTCTACATTATTCAGTTTTTTTGTTCTTTTCCTTTTTGTGACTTTTTTAATAAAAACATCCCTTAGAAAAGCTGTAAAGTAAACTGAAATGCTAACCATAACATCAGCAGAGAGAAATTGAAGTGTTTTAAAATAATGCAACTCGCTATGTGGTGTTCCAAGCTGGGTGAGATGTTTGAAGCTACATGTAGTTGAAGGGAAAGACGACCATCAGCTATTTATGACAATACCTGCCCTCTGAACCGTGGGCTTCATGCACAAACTGCAGAGGAGGATTTCTGGTAGTGCATCACCACTAGATCATCATGCATTTTTCAACTGAATGTGCACAACAGCATGGCAGCCATGCATGGAAATGCACCCAGCAGGGACGGCAGGCAAGTATCCGTGACTACCCCAATCAATCAGGCATTTTAGACCACTCTGCAGATGTGCACACAGCCCACATTTAACCTGGGCAAAAGGGCAACACTCTCTTGGAGACCCACACCCCTAAAACGTAGAACCAAAGCCTCTTCTAACAAGGAAAAAAAAAAAAACCCCAAAAATTCCTCCATAACATCAACTTAATAACCAACTCTGCATATACGTTTTTCTAAAACGAAACAAAAAACACTCTTCTCTTTTGGTGGCAGTTTCGTGGCTAGTCAAACACACAACATTGTTTGGCAACAACAGTACTGTAACTTCTTTCATTAAAAAGATGAGTTGATTTCCTTTCCTTTTTTTTGTACAAAGATAAAAGGGCTTTACAGCGAGAACTGGTGAAAAAATAAAACATTTCCAGGTGTTATACGCTTGGTCTTGTGCACTCTTGTCGATGACGCGAATACTACTGTTGCAAGTTGAATGTACATTTCAGCAAGTGCCGACCAGCCCCCCAGGGGGGGGCGCATCTGTTTAAAATTCTCAATACAGAAAGTGGTCAGGAACTTTGTGCTATAAGCTATGTATAATAAACACTTTGCATATATAAATATCGACACGTTAGCACACTCGTATATGACAAGAGTATAGGCAAACAGGGAAACCAGCAGGTCCACTTTCTCAGTGTTTGTCAGGAAACAGGTTAAAAGTACGGTTACTTTTCTTTCACTTGCGTCACAGTTCAACACATTCAAAACGACAAATCTTTATGGCCTTACGGCACTTGATGGCAAGCCCAACTCGTCATCTGGCCTCTGACCTTGCAATATGAGACTCCATCACCATCTTTGTTTGAAATGATAAAATGGAAGTCACTGATGTATCCTTCATAAGGCACTGGAATTTTAAATGTGTTCTACAAGTTGTGGGCACCAATACTTCACTCATAATGACAGAGTGGATTTTTCTGTACAACCTAGATACTGCGACCTTTGGGATTTTTTCAGTAAACGTTAGCTGGGCACTGTTCTACCACGTAATGAACTCTGGAAAGATATACATATGAAAACAAATCTGTATGTGGACTTGCTGGTTCCGGATAATGTCTTTTTTGGTTAAGAATTTTGAAATTAACAAATTTCGGAATTCACGGGTGATCCTCAACACTTCTAAAAATTGCCTCCTGACTTTCTGGCCTCATTTCCAGATGTCGTATTTTGCTCAACTTATTTCCCCCCAGAATAATTTTTATGGGGCTATTTACTTCCGATGAAACTTTGTTTCGTTAGGCTGCCCATACCTATCCAGCCCGCAGGAGTCACCCTAAAGCACAGAGAGTTCATTGGCAGTCACCCCCCTTGGTAAAAAGGATGATAAAATATTGGAGATTCTTTTTTTGGTAGCTTTTTTACTGGGTTTACACGTACTTACCAAATTCCTCCTAATCTAAGTCCTCACCTGCTCAACTGCCTGCACGTCTCAAATAAATCCCAAGATTTTTCTAATCTGCTACCATATACGATTGTGTAGGCTTTCCTGTCTTTAAAATGTGCATCTTTCATTTCCATGCAATCTTAAAACACTTCTTTTGCAAAACACACACCAACAACCCTCTAAAAAGTGACGATGCTTCGGGATCGGGAAAGAATTTCTTGATACAAAAAAAAAAAACCTCCGGAACCGTAATACTTCAACTGCATTGGAACTAAGTAAAATCATCACATCTCACAGGTACAGATCAGCTCCTTAACGCCAGATCTACAATTGCTGTTCAAACTCAGTGAAGGTATAACGACAAGTTACTTTGGTACTTACGACATGGCACGGAAAGAGAGAAATAAACAAAATGAAATTAATGTGCATGCATAATTAATATAACTCAAAACAAAATTCACGGTCATGAAACTTATGGAAAAAGCTACCAGCAACTACGATGTACTGAATGAAATGACGGAATTCATGAAGATACTTCGGGTGAAGAGAAAAATCTTATCAACACGTGTCTAATCCGCAAAACAATATTTAGGAAGGGAATCTTAATGTCTGAATTGTCTCCTCGCTGAAGCAGAACACACAAAAACATAAAAATGTAACAAGGTCATTCAACAAGAAATATTCAAAAACCTGAAAAATTGCTCCACCCAAAAAGTCAAATCAAACCTTACACAGTCAACTCACCAACTTGTTTAAAAAAAAAGAGAAAAGCGCAAAACCTGCTTGACATAAAGTTCAGCTTTGGCATCATTCGCAACTCATCTAACAGTTCAATATGTCACAAAAGCTAATTAATGTAATCCTACAGTACTAGTTAATCCAAGTTAAACACTATTAACTATGGTAAGGATAGATGATCTCTGGAGAGAAAGGAAACGATAAACAAAGTAAACAGCCGAAATATACAAGAATAAAAATCTCAAGAATAAGCGAATCAACAGTTTTAAACTGCTGACATACAACCCCCCCCTATCCTACAATCTGGTAGTCTGTACACCAAATCTGATCCATTTGGGGGGGAATTCCCCCACACACCAGAGATGCCAGAGCTGGCCAATCAAAGTAATGTGATTTAGCAAACCAGGAATGATTTGGAATTACGGTAGGAAACCGGGGGTATTTTTTGGCAGTGAAGGAAAGCTGACAGTTTCTTTTTCCATAATGAAACGATGACTCCTGATGATGCTCAGGTATCCCCCAGAATTGCAGGTTTTGTCAGCAATGTTCTTTGGTCAAGTTGACCAAAAAAAAGAGAGAAAAGTTCTTTGTCTTTGGTATAAGCTCCAACTGTATAATCTGGAGCGCACATCGCTCCAGATGACTAAAACGCTACCACCCTAAGAGTGAACGACCTCCTTAGCATGAAGCTAAGGAATAATCAAATGATTATCTGTATTCATACAAATCTACAGGACTTTTAACCAAGTCCACAATCTCGATAGTTCTGTTTACTCTGCATCAAATTTACTTGTTTAACAAGGCCCACCATGCAGAAATTCTTAAACCTTGTGATTGAAATCGACACAAGTGGCCTTACTCACTGGGTACAACATATGGACAGATACATTGATTTTTTTTTCATCGATAGCAATGTTGATAACAGTAGTGCTTCCTTGTGAAGTAGGGTATTGATTTTTAACATCAATTGTCTTTTCTAAAATTTCTGATCTAATACCATCTATATCAATCTGATGCGCAAATGTATACGAGTACATGTAGATATCTTGAATTTGATGAGCAATCCGTACTGATTAAATCACTCGGCGATCAATGCATTGATTTCTGTTTTTGCCAATCATAGATCAATACTGAGCCTGGTAGACTTCGTTTGGGGAGGTAGGGGCATAGGCGTGGCCATGGTATCCGCCGTAGCTGAACTGTGGGCTGTCCGGTGCATCACCACCTGAAGTTGGGAAGCAACGGGAGAAAGGGGGGAAAAGATGGAAATGGGAGACAAAAGTACCCGGTAAAAGCTAGCAAATAGGAATGAACAGCAAACACGTGATGCAAGGCAATACAATCAATATTCCATCAGTGTCATAAAAACACTTGTATTCTCAAATCTTCAAAATAACGGAATGCAATGGAAAAGATCATGCAAATTTACCCCAGTCAGAGAATTCTTATCAATTAAACTTGAAACATATATACACGATCTTAGTAATCAGTAAAAACAGGTGAAGTGATCTGACAATCTGAGTGCATGTAACTCTACCATGTGCATCAGCATTATTATGCCACGAGAGTGAGAGAGGCACATTAAATGTTGATATGGATGGAATTGTCGAATAATTCCTGTGCATTTCAGTGGACGATGCAAGGAACCATCACAAATGCCTCGGCATCAAAGCTGATGAATGACCGCTGACATTTTATTTTTAAAAAAGACAGAGTTTTTAAAAGTCTGTTGGTTTGTTCTTTTCTTACTGCTTGTTTGCTTTTTTTTTTTTTTTGGTTTTATTTTGGGTTTTTTTGTGGTATTTTTTAGGCTCCTCTCAAGAAGACATTGCCACTGCCTCCAGCAAGTGCATTGGCAAAATGTCCAGCCAGGCTTTTCTGACGACATAGTTTGTTTACAAGGTTGTATGGCTGTGTCCGAATTAGTTGGCTGTGGCTTGACATTGTACACAACTCCATGAGAAGTGGCCACAGCCATTATGATAGACTCATGTAGTTACAAGCCGTAGCCAAGTGCTTTTGAAACGGCCTACGTCTCCCTCAATGAGTACATTTACAAAACCGCTTTTTGAGCATCATACACTGTATGGTACGAGTGAATGTACGGTACGGTACAACCTTTCACAAAAGTTGTTACACAGAAAAAACACTTGGCAATACATGAAATTCGACAGTTTAAAATGGGCATTTGGTTCAGATGGCACAAGGAATTACAGTCACCCGCACGAAAGGGTGCAATGAAGAAAAAAAACAGCAGCAGGTAGTCATTGAATGACAGGTGAAACATGGATGCAGTACAGATGGATCTTCATGGTGCTGTTTAGTGCCGGTAACGAGGGACACACAATGCGACGAGGTCGTGCATGCATTTGGCGTGATGATGACTGCAACCGCGAATCTGTTGTCCTGAAGCATTCAAATGAGCTGGATGTTTTTGTGGATGCAACAAGGAACAGTTAAACTCGGGGCAGATCCCGGGGGGAGGGAAAGGGGCATGAACTAAAAATTTCAGGGACGTGGCCGTAAATAAGGGAGGTTGGGTGACCGGAAGGAGACCTGTTGTTGTTTTGTGCCTTTGTCACATTTCTGGGGCTTTTTTTTTTCTTCCCCTCTCTCGTTTTCTTCCGTCTTTATTTCTTTATTTTTTTTGTAGGTGAAAAGAGGGGGAGGGGTTGTGTGCCCCCACGTCCCCCTGGATCTACCCCTGGAACTTCTCTTGGTAGGGCCACCATTTCACTCTCAAATATCGTTTGTGAGTCAAATACAGGACAACTATTCACTGGAACCATGTCACAAATGGGACCGGATCCTACAAAATGAGTCTGTAGGCCATATTTCGGTTAATTCTCTTTTGAGTTCTCTGTTTTGGGGTATATTAACCATTTTGGCATCCTGATGAAGATGACAATACACATCACAGATGGAAGATGGGTCATTCTACCGGTATAAATTAAGGGTCCAAAAGTGTGACATTTTTGTGATCCTGTTACACCTGTGACCTGAGTAATTTGACATGGAAATATCACTTTAATTGATTTCAAGGTATTTGTATTTGTTTGGCAGGTCATTAGCATTTAATTCATCACTCTTGGAAATTAGAGAAATGAACTCACGTATTAAATCATATGTCAGATGTAACAGGGGACATAAAAAAAAATTGGAAGCCCGATTTATAGGATGACTCATATTCTCTTAAAGTCCGGTCACTCAAAAGTCACCCTGGCGAGCTGTGACTCATTTGTTTGGTTGGGTCACCAACAAAAACTCCCTGAACCCCGATAAAATTCATCCGTGGGAGGGGGGGGAGAGTTGGCAGTGTCATTGTCATACCTGGTGTCATTAGGACGGGAGGTGACGAGGTGATGGGGACACCGACATACGTCTGCTGGTAAGCAGTCGTTATGGCCACACCGTTCGACATCCCATGGGGGTTGGGATGAGGCGGCGGCGGCGGGGGCGGTCCCCCCTGGGGGTGGTGGGGGGCGATGTAGTCGCCTGAGCCGGTGGGGGAGGATGAGGTGACAATGGTAGTCGTGGAAACGCTGTCTGTGCCTGGATGCAAAGCCAAAAAAAGGAGTACAAAAAAAAAAAAAAAAATTGCCATGCAACAATCAAAGTTGGGTGTTCGATTCCTACCAAACTTGAGCATTAACGATTTACACGTTACAGGTATTCGGGAGCAAATTTGTATGAACTTGTGAGTGAAGTTTGACCTCGTCACTTTGAAAGTTTACCCCTCCCACGAAGACTGTTGTGCAAGATGAATGTAGTAAGGTTGTAGGAATTTCCTACTACATATCACAAGTCACATGACCAATTGTGAACAAAATGTATTGACACGAGTGCCAACAAGTGAGGGTTGTTTTTCGTCGAGAGAAAATTGCAGCGTTCAAATGGATGCTGGGTTTATGTAGGGGAGGGAATTGATGTTGGGTTTGGAAACTTTTCGAAATCAAATCCCCATCTTTGCACAGAACAGAAAATCACCGCTTGGAGGTTACACATGGTGCACTGGCATCTTGGGGGGACAGGTGGAACTCAAAAGTTGGTCTTAATTAAATTGCCTTGAGGACAAACTGCATTCGGTTGAGACAAACAAAAACTCCTATGCCTTGCAATCTGCCTGAACCCAGCCTTTCCAACCCCCTCCTGAACATTTGCTTTGACCAACGCCCCTGATGTGGTGAGTCCTCTCTTAAAAAACGATTCATCCCACAGAAAGTCCGGCATCGAACACCCTACTTTGACTGTAATGTACATGTAGCTGGGCAGTGATGAATGTACAGCAGAGGGAGAAGGTGTGTTTGTTGATTTTCACAGCAATGGAGAGTGGTTGAAATGAAATGACTGGATGGGACACTATAACCGGCTCCGATTGCTGCGGAAAATGAATGGATTCGGAATCAGATGTGGGGTCTTTGAGTCTGCCGCAAGGCTTGAACCCGCACAGCTAGTTTCTAGCACACTAGGGCAGCCTCTTGGAACTACCAGTGCTGCTTCTCTGCTAGTTTGAGTGAAATTTGCATGAAATGTGCAAGCATCAAACTGTGCCATCGGTCTAGAATGAAAATCCATCCAAGCTCAGTTCATTTGCTGAAGACCTGTGAACTCTTCCAGAACATTAAGAAAACAAAGAAATCGCTAGGTGGGTGTTGGTTTGGGGTGGAGGCAATCATGATGAAGCTCAAGCACACCACATAATGATACCATGATGCAAGCTTGATTAAACAAAGGCTAAGTACACAGTGCCTAACCATGAACTGATACATGATGTAAGGAAACACACACAGACACCCCATATTTGGGCAACTTCATGTACATGTTGGCTCATTATTTTCTATCGATGATAACCAATGCAAATTGAGCCAAATCTCACTCAGTTAATCATTGACCGCCCAGGATCAACTTCAAGCTCGGTCCTCCCAGATAACCATCAGGTTCTTAATCATTTTTCTGGACAGGTCTCGATAAGAGATTTCAAAACCTTCCCCCCCAAAACACAAGGCCATTGTTCGCTGTTGCCAGCAGAAAAAAAAGGGGAGAAAAACAAGAAACTGCCGCAGAAAATTTGGGCCAATTAGTCGCAAAGGTCGTGTGAGATTAACGGAGTGGGATCAAACTCAACCTGACAGAAAAGCAAACATCTAAACCACTACAATAATATGCAACCATTTCTTCTGCACTGCATTCTGTACATCTGGCGATCTAAATCTTTTTTTTTTTTTTCAAACGAAAAAGGATGTGCCGAAGTGTTTCACGAGGAACCATCTATTCGCCAACTACTGCAGAACTACATGCTTTGGGCCAAACTGGAAAAGGGTAAAAAAAAAAAGAACATGACGGGATGACACTGCGGAAGGAATGAGAAGAGGAAAGGTTGGAGTGCAAACCAGAAGATTGTGGCAGTCTTTCCCTGAATCACGCCGGGGGAGGGGGGAATCTTAAGACTTCCAACAGGCTTAACCCCCCCCCCGGTTACTATACAAAACATTTCAGGGACTGTCCCAACATTCAGTCCATCCAAAATCCCCTGATGAGGTGTTCTAAAAAAACTGAAGTTTGTGGCTTCACGGTGTTTAGGTTTAAAACTATGATCTGCATGGAGTGTGTTGGCTCATATACAAAGTTAAGCCGTTCGCTCAAAATGGGAAAGTAGGGATACAATTGTGTTTTGTGAGCAATCTTCCACGGTATGGCAGGTGCGGAAAGGGGGAAAAAACGGGAAAATCCCGACACGTTTCAGTGGAATATTGAATTTCCATGCAGGTGCCAGTTCAAAAGATAATCTAAATATGGACCAATGTTTGTAGAAATTTTCTACTGATAAACCAGCGAGTTTTTGCACACGATGGGGGGTTTTAGGGGGTTCAGAGCTCTTGCTCCCATTTTTGCCATTACAAATTTCGTCTTCTTAACAAGAAGCCAGACAAATACATAAACAACCCAAACTTCAGGAATATATTTGGCATAGATTGCTTCAGGGTTTCACCACCGCAAAAGCAACAAAGGCGACAGAAAGTTTTTCAGTAATGACGTCAAGCAGAGAGATCAAGACAAAAACGGTGAGAGGTGAGAAAGAGAAGTTTAAACTGACAACTTTCTTGATGGAATTGAAAGGAAGGAGACTTTCATGATATGAAAGCTCACGACATCCTGAAACCTCACTGGATCATGAAATCTCAAAATGAATTGAAGATTACAATCCACGGTGAAGGTGGGAAACCTGACTGGCCAGAAAATGACGATCATGAACAGGGTGCAAAAAAGACAGAAGGGGAATCAGAAAAAGAGATAACCAAAACTGATGGAGTGACTAGCGCTACTTCCAAAATGGAAAAAAAAAGGACCACTCTGACATCAACAGTTGGTTTCGGATTAGATTTTTAGTACCTGTGAACTTAGCAGAAGAAATTGCCGCAGATCTGCTAGTTTTACCGCTTACCATCTAAGGGCAGGCCCGTGGTGGAGAGGACGTGCTCAGCGGCCAGGGACTTGGCGTCCTCTACGCTAGTGCAGAGCTTGGTGGGCTGGAGGCCGGCCGGGTAGCTCTGGGCCAAGGCAGGGATTTGGACCTGGCCAGGGGGAGAGAAAGAAGAAAGCATTGGGTGTTGGAGGGGTAAGCTGGTTACCCCCGCCTCCTCGAAGCACACATCGTATTCATGCTCTCAGAAGCACCAGAGTTCTTATAGATCAGTCATGTTTGTTTCAACCAAGTACCAACACTCCACCATCCTACAAATTGTTCAAATTATGAACTCTCTCCATCTTGTTAATTATTCTAACGAAGCCGTAACAGAAACAAAAGGAAAGGAGAAAAAGACCGTGGATCTCTGTCCGTGGATGTGTTTCTTTACTGTACCTTGTAGACAAAGAGCTGGACATCATTTTGTGGGCTGCGGCTGGACAGCAGTGTGTAGGTGGGTATACCCCAGTTGTGTTTGGTACACTCTTCCTCTAATATCTATAGGAGATGGGTACAACAGCGACAATAAACTGAGGTTAGACAAATTTTATCAATAGAGGTATCAACTTGGCTGCGTTAATGTTATACCCCGGTGTTGCTCTTACACAACACTATATATTAACGATCAGTGTAGCCTGTGAGTTGCGAAAACATCACAAGCTTGCCTGGGCGGGATTCGAACCCATGACTTCTGCACTAGTATGCAGGATGTTGCGGGTTCGAGTCCCAATCCGAGCAAGCTTGCGTTCTTTTTCAGAACTCCTGGCACATGTAACTACTGAGAATACAGTGTGAATGCGTCAGTCGGCGTAAGGGTAAAACCAGGAATGAAGTTTATCGATGGTTGTCGTTTCTTTAAAAAAAGCCCCGATGAAGCGGAAGATCATTAAAACTGAGAATTTCTGAAATCACTGGGAAAGTAAAGACCAATCTGCCCCCCCCTGAATGACTATCGAGGCCTACTGATAATTTATTGCAGTGGCACCACAGAGGGCAAGACTGAGAAAGTCACATCCCACAAGAACGACAAACGGTCTTCATGATTAGCTATGCAAAGCATGACCATAACTTCCGTAAAGATTTGTTCCAGTAGGCCACGAGTTTCCTGACTTCATAAGCACGGGTGTTCCCACACACAGGCTAAGTTTCAGTGAAAACTGCAATTGCAGGGTGAAGATTTGAACGGGTGACGTTGCTCATACGAGTACATGTACGTATCATACATATCCATATTTATGAAAAACATACAGTGTGCATGTATGAAATTACCCTCGGCTGCCAGTCATGCAATGTTACAGGCATGCGATTAAGTGACATCACGTTAGTCAGAACAGTATTTTTTTCCGTAACACTTGTTACTTTCTAGACAAATGGATCTGGAAACTTCAGAGACCAATTTCACCCCGGCAGTATTAGGAATCGAGCAACAAACAACATTTCAGACAATCCCTGTGAATATTTTATTTCCATCTTAACCCGAAGCTTGTTTGAAAGCGTAGCTGGAGTGTAATCTGATTTTTCAGGATGCTCGAGGGGTAATGTCGAAAGGCAGGATCAGGATCGGTAGGTACGAGTTTTCTCTACATTGAACAACCACTAAAAACATGACTAAAAACCTTTAGAAGGGAGGCAAGGCTCTGACTTCTTTGTTTCTGCCCTTCGCTTACGTGTATCCACTGGTTTAGAGTAACGGCATGCTGAATTTTATACAAAACTTCGCCCCTCAGTGGTTCTCTGTTGGTCACATATTTTGTGGGTATACCTCTCTACAGAAAAATTTGAGGCGGATTGAATTCCCTGTTCTGTCTAGACAATAGCGCTCTTCAAGGTTCCATAGTTTTGGATGGGCAGATTTAACGCATACGTATATGCCACCTTGTTTTGAAACTATTCTTTAACAACAACTGAAGTACTCAGCACCAGCAGCAATGTTCTCCAGGTTGTCAATTTTAAACTCGATGGGGGCTGAAACAAATATTGAAATGGGGGGAGGGTATCATGAACCACTTAAGGACCTTGTCAACAAATCAAGTTCAGTTCTTGGCATCTTGGTCATCTTTGGAATTGGAAGCAATTATGGACACTCACAGAGTTTCTTCTTCCCCAAGATTATGCTGAATAAGTTGAAATACTCAAGAATGTAAACGTACTAGCAGCACCCAAAACTTCACATTTGGCCGCCAGACTTTTAAAGCTTGGTGGCTACCAGTACTTCTAGCATGGTCGGGAGACAAGCAAAACTTGGTGGGCAGCCAACATGCATCTATAAGTTACAGAGCACTGGCTTTAATTGTCGGATATGGGGGGAGAACACTGTCAGTGTCGGGTGCGCATGATGGCCCTTGTAAAAGGAGTGTACCTGGACAAAACTCTTCTGCGGCTTGAGGGTTACTGGGTTGGTGGGTGTCAGTTCCATTCCGGGGATAATATCGTAAAGCCTTGACTGTTAGTTTGGAAGGGTCCAGAGGCAGAGTGATGAAGGGGAGGGGGAAATGAGAGGGGTGTGATGTCACAATCAATGTGAGGGGAAGAGATTGGGTGACGGTGGAGATGTAGGGTGAAGGAAGAAGGGATTGGGAAAGGAACGGATGGGTGGTAGAAGGGTGGTAGAAGGGTGATTGGGTGGGTTAGGGTGTAACCCGAGCACAGGCATGACAGTCGGTCACAGGGTGAAAATGGATGGATTGGATACGATGGATTGACAGATGCCAAGGCATTGATGGATGGAAGTACATGACAGTGGATGATAGTATCAGAAAGTACATATAGATCGTGGGGGGAGGGGGGAAAAGTGGAGAATGCCAAAGAAATTGGGGCCATTCATTTGCATGAGAAGGGTGTTTGGGGTGACAGGGGCGAGAAAGGTGAATCCCCAAGATGAATCAGGCAATTTGGAAGTTGTGCGGAGTGCAGTGCGGAACATTTGGATGACGCATTCCGTCGGGAAGATTGGTTGGAGAAATGGAACGTAGGGCGGGTTTGGCAATTTTGAGGACACATGCGGCAGATTTGGTGGTGGAACGGGTTGGGTGAAATGTTGTGCATAGAGGCAGGTGGAAGGCAGACCGCAAATCATACAGTGATGGGTGGATGTGTGCAGAGGTTCATGTGGTGCGGGACGTGTCGTGAGATTTGGGAAGGTTTGTTGGAGAATTGAAGGGGAAAAAAAGGAGAAAATAAAGGCATTAAAACAGATCAACCATGCTGGTTAGAGAGGGTCGAGTCATTAGTCAATGCAGAAGCATTTAGACACAGCATCATTCCCACCATTACAATATATCATATTCAGTTATAAAACATGAATACTCAGACATTGTGCCAATTCCATAAAATAGTCAACATCGGCTACACAAAAGGCAAAACAAAACTGTATGCATTGTTGCTAGCTGCTTCACAAGCTCCCGCCAATATCTGCTTAATACTAAGCATGACCTTCAGTTTGTCAGGTCTGTGAATTCTTTTTCACTCTTTTTCCAAACTCTTTTTCAACAAGTGGTACTACATTACCACATGCTTGTTGCTCAGTAAATCCATGATATACACCCTGCATTAGTAACACCATTTCGAAAACAAAAAGGAATTCCACCATGTTTAATATTTAAAGTTTATTAAAACTAACTTATCTCTCACTTATTAATAATCAACCCTTTACATTTATGTGCATTCACAATACACGTTATCTTCTGAAACTATACATCAAAAGCAGCGCTTAGGGTATGTCGCCCAGAGCAAAATTAACTACATTGACAAATCAATATGAAATGCCTATTCCTAGTCTATGTGCTAGCCAATCAACAGGCAGAGGTGACTCGTGAAGGTCAGAATTAATATTGCGAGACAGGGGACATCAAGGAAATCAATCGTTTTTATGAGAAAATTAGTGAAAAATGCACCGGTATAAAGTTACATGGGCAAGGCGGAGGCAACTGATCAGAAAGGAGATTCTCAATGCAGTCTCTCGTGATGACAACTTCGCCTGACAGTGTAATTTGAACCCCCACCCAAGGGATGTACTATGGTTTGCTCCGATACTGGTGGTAACCTCGAAATGTTACTAACCTCAGCTGGTTTCCGGCCGTCGAGGTACCGGGCGTAGCCACCGCGGCCACCGGCTTGAAGCCCACCGTAGCTGCGCATGCCTCCCGCCCCTCGCATGCCAGCGGCACCACGCCCACGACCCCTGGGGGAGAAGGACCCACGTGCGGCCAGGCCACCTCGTCCAGCGTTGCCGAACCTGGTGGGGGAGTGGGGGGGGAAGGGAGGGGTTGTGACAATCAATTAAACTGAGAGGCCGATGTCAGAGAGCCTCTGAGCAGGTGCAGGTATTTTCCGAGCAACAAATATGCGACCCACTCTGAAAAATGAATCACGAAGCCATTTTTGACAGTCATGTTGTTTCTGTTTGCAAGCAGGCATCCTGATGAAAGTGGACACTCGGGTGTGGGGGGTGCAAAAACATTGATGGCTCCTCTAGATGCCACGGGGTAAGATTCTTCTAAAGGCCACCAACTCCAAAAATTGGTTCAGCGACTTGCAACTCATTTTCACAGAGCGAGTCACCTTATCTGTCAAGCAATGAATATATCTGCAAACAGGTCGCCAACCAATATGCCATGTTCATGTACAGTATGACTGGTTCCAATCAAATTTCGGATGGGCGCAACATATTTTTTGAGTGATGCCAATTGGCAAGATTGAGACATCGCCCTGGGAATCGACGGCTTCGGACAAACACCTAGGCCCCGGCTCACTCACCCATTCATACCCCCAGTGTTGCTGTAGGGCTGGTAGTAGGGCGGGCTTTGCTGGACGGCCAACGGCTGCTCGTAGGCCGCACCCCCGTAGCCGTAGGCCCCGGGCTGGATGTATCCCCTGCCTGCCCCGGCCCGGGGGAACCGCGCCAGGGGGTTCTTCTCAGCCGGCTTGGCAAAGACCACCTCAACGGTGGAGCCGTCAATTTGTTCTCCTGGATAACCCAAAATGAGAGAGCGATGTTCATTACAAAGTTGCAATAAACACCGTTCCGCGCAACGTTATAGTGGACGGTATGGGCTGTGCACCAGTTCCATCATTGGCTCCCGGCTGGACACGAATACAAACAACACTGATTTGCACCTGAGACTGAATATTCTTAAACCATACCATGTGCTTCGTTTGAAGGTTACACATCCAACGAGCACTCGTGACCAGCAAGTCAGTACACTTCACTCCGGCTTGTCATGTACACTACATTCATCCTTCCTCCTTTGAGACTACAATTTGCCCAGGATATGGGGAAAAATCTCCTCAAGACCCTTTGGAACCTCTTCCAAGAACACTTGACGTTAATCTGCCTTTTCATTTGCTGATGATGAACATCTGTATTTTCTAAAAGAAAACATCCCAAACCCTACTCTATAATTTCATGCACTTTGGTACTGAATTCAAACTTGACATTTGAATGCATCAGCGGCATGAGTGGGAGGTCTTGGGTTGGGTCTTGACTACAACTGAAGCCGGATAAAGAAAAAAAAATGGACTATGGATCAAGGGTTTTGTCCAGCATTTGGAAACTTTATAGTTTTCACAGTTTTGCCTTGACGTGAAAAATCAGGACATCCAAGTCGCTAAGATTTGCATGCTTTCACAGCCACAACAAAGGTGTCCAAAAAGGGCCAGACGGGTGCCAAAACCCTATGGCTAAAACATGGTATAAGGTACCAGGGTACTCACCGTTCATGTCTTTCATCGCCTGACAGGCGTCCTCCCGAGTCTGGAAGTGAACAAAGGCGAAGTCTTTCATCCTCTTCACTCTCTCCACGGCGCCCTCCTTGACTTTTTTACCAAAGGCACTCTGGACGGTCTCTTCGCTGGTGTGGAGCATGAGATTCCTCACGTACAGGATTTTAACCTTTTCAGTGGACAATGGAGAGGAAAAAACGGGTATCTGTGGTAACTTACAGCTGTGACTTACAGAGTCAATTTGTGCTTTGATTTGGAAGACTAAAATACACCTGTTCTGTACCAAGATCAACCTCTTGAGATCGAAGGCATTGGCTTCTCTGGTAACAGGGGGGTAGGCAGGGGTGAAATGGGTAGAAAATGAAATAGCCAGGAAATAATTACCAGAGGGTTTGAGAGCCCCACAGCAGCATAGGATCTACATTTGTGTTTGTCTAAAGGCACACCTTAAGTACTCACCTGCATTTTATATCAATTTTTCTATGTAGAAACACCACAATTGTAAACCTGGATTTTTGACAGATGTTTGAAAAATCCTGAAATCAGGAAAATCCTGTACTATGCAGGGGATGGAAGGTTTTCAACCTAGGACTGAAAACTGCCTGTCATCTCCCAGGAAAACCTTTGAGACTAACATTCCTTGGTTCTGTCCGGGGCCAAATTCAATCATTATTTTGGAATGAAATGTGAAAATTTCTTCACCAGTGTTAAAGATTTATGCAAAAAAAATTGGGCTTGCAAATTGTGAACAAGCAAAAAAAACCTGCCTGTCCAGTGGCATTTTGCCCCTGTCCACAGGACAGGTGGACAGGGGCCAGCAACGAAGATACAATACCAGGAGAAAAAGGTCGCGACAAATTGCCTGTCCGATAGCCCGGGGTAATCAAATTTTCATTCGGGCAATTAAAATTCTGACTAGCTGTGCCAGTTCAGGCAAGTCCAGAAAAGTTAACCTGCTAATGTAAACCAATTACTTTATGTGCTAAATCTTAACTTTGAACATCAATTAGGATTCCAATATGATAAAAAAAAAATAGTATTCAGCCGTGTTTCAGTCGCAAGTGCCAACTTCACCCCTACATTGCCTCATGCATATGTATGACATTCCAATTGCTGCAGCTGCCATTCATTGATGTCAACACCACTTTCTCTCAGATAATCAGGGTCTCCAACCGGCTCCAGTGGCCTGGGCTGAAGATACCCTACCTCAAGAACAATTTTGAAACTACCGGGACCGGTACTGAGAACAAGGTGGAGTTTATCTTAAGCTTCTGGTTGCAATATTTGCGCTCGCCGCTCCCAGACCACATCATCATTATACTCTTCCATGGTTACAAGAAAATTAATTATGGTCTGAGGATGTGACTCAAAGTGCTCACCGAGCAAGTACACCGTCGCCAACATTATATTAATTATGGTGCACTTTTCAAACAATGCGACCAGTTGGAGATAACCAACCACTCCTCCTGAGTCAACTCAGTTGCAAAAGTTAATTGAAAACAAAAAATCTGGTTGTGAGATGTACATGAACAGGTGCCACCCCGAGCTGAAGTCCCCTCCCCTGACAAAAGAAAGACAGCTGGTTACAACTGGGTTCTTGCACGCATTCTGCATGTACGCAAAGACCATACTCAGCATGCTTTGCGTCAAACGCACCACTGATCTCCACTATAAACGCACGTCTACGCGGTACCCAAAAAACCACGCCCTCTTTTGTTCCGCTCGGAGCGGATACATTGTATCAGCCCCATCTAAGCCATAAGCAATTCAACCCTTGCATTTCTGATTCCTGGGTTATTCCATCAATGTGCATGTGGCTCAAGACACCTGTGCCTAGATCAAAGTTGTTGGCCGGGGAAAGGAAAATTCTTGACTTGGAAAGTTTCCTCTCGGATTTGAAGAAAGGGTCAATCCCTTTGAGAAGTACCAGTACCTGGACAAGGAATTGTGAGGAACATGAAAAATACATGTTCCTCGTGTGCCCGGCAGAAGGGCGTAAGCGCTTAGGCCTTTTGGCCGGGAAGCACGATCACTGCAAAAAAACTGTTTGCGGCAAAAGGACGAAAGTATGCAACTATTGTATTTTAATGCAATATGAAGATTTCTTTGCAAAAAGTTTTTCAAAAATGCCCAAGTCCTTTAATAAGTTGTTCAAAGGTTGCTTTTTGTACAGCCCCATCTATGATTTTGTAGTAAATTAAATCCGTTTTAACTAAATGAAGAGAGTGTATTTCTTACGCCCTTTTGCCGGGAACATTTTCCTGCTGTGATCATGCTTCCCGGCAAAAGGGCCTAAAAGTACACTTATGGCCTTCTGCATGCCGGGCACCCAAGGATATGTAAGCATCCAAACAGACTGGGACGAGTAGGCTCCTAGTGCCCGATCCTGATGCATTTTTGTATGCTGACTGCGTGCCATGAAGTATAAAATATATCCAGCACTTTGCCACTTTTCATGGTATGTGACTTCCTTATCAAAACTTTTAACCCACACCAGAAATCACGCTGAAACTCAAAGCTACATGTCTGATATATTACACTAAAAGGCAAAACACTTTTTAGTTGATATTTTGAAGAGCAGAACTGCTAGTCGGTGAACAATGTAACCGCAAGCAATGTTCAGTCCTTTTGTCCTGAACAAGAACAAAAGCCACAAGTCCAAAAAACCCATTCATGGAGGGTACAGTTGGGACTGCTTTCAATTTAACAAACAATAAGTGGCTACATAAAATCATCACCCTGCATAACTTGGCCCTGATAGCACATCCTGTCTGTGTGCTTTAGGAGCTGAAAGAGGAGGGTTTGCACAGTAAAGCAGTCTTGGAAGGCAGTAAACTTTTAACAGGCTATCACTTTACACGCTCAAGCACTACTTCAAATTGACACAGGTCCTGGGGAATACAAGGGGTGCTGTTTAATTATGGGGGGTTAATGCCACTGGATGGGAAAACAAAAATCTCCCACAGCTCACCCAGGCCAAGGTGAAGAGGCTCAGGTGTTTGTTTCGCTGACCACAGCCAAGGAAAACTGGTTCTGTAAACTGGGCACATTGTGTCTGTGTGCCCGAGGTTGGGGTAGGAGGTTATCTCAAGGTGAAGGTGCAATGGATGGCCCCTTCAGCTGGGGTGAAAGGAACTGAAGACGCCAAGTCAGATCAAGATAATATGAGCTGTTCTTCGAATAAGAGCCCCGAGAGCACCAGGTCTCTTTTCAAGTTACCGGGTGCACTTTTTTTTCCATTTGAGAGAATAAAACTAAATGTCGGCCGTACAAATTTGCAAGGGGAAATGAATGTTTTATGTCATCTCTGCATCTGTGACGCAAAACCAAAAGATTGCTTGCCTAATTGCTGCCAGGTATATCTAGGTGACAAATTGGGCAACTGTATCATTTTGGGCACGTGAGCAACAAATCTGGAACCCCCATTGCCCCCTGTGGCATTATTCAGACACTAAGCCTAAATCCAACTGAATCCACAGACAGCAAGGTGCCAACCCTGCCTCAAGCCTGCTGATGATCACCTGACAAAATGTGTGACTTTAAGCAACTGGTCCAATGGCCAATCAAGACAACAAAACCAGAATGTACCAATCTCCGACTTGAACATTTCCCCTGAAAAGTCACGCTACCAGACAACGAGGCCCTAACTCTAAGGTCAATAACCTTAAAAGGTGGACATGTGGCAAACTTTTAGTTGGTGTTACTATTTATTTTATTATCCAGCTTCCAAATGCAGAAGACAATTATACCAACTCCAAATCTGGGACCTCAAAATTTAATTGGCAGCTGAGAGACCCTGAGCCCTCATCACAGCACCAGGGAGACTTAAACGTGACCCGCACTGTGAAAACAAGTCAGGTGTCACCAGAGCCACTTTTCTGTTAAAAGACCTTATGAAAGAATCTTGCACAGTGTTTGATTAAGCAATAGGAATCCTGAACATTTTAGCATCTACGTAACGTCCATTTTTATTGCACCAAACTGAGTGACACATTTAAAGGAAGAGCTCAAAATTCCGCAATCTAACACAAAGTAAAACTCGAAAGTAGCTCCGGAGATTTGTGACTCATCTTTACAGAGTCACAAATTACTACAGCTACCTCCACTGGTTCCTGTGTTATCACTGAGGATACTTCCCAATATCTGGGGTCCAGTTTGACTGGAAAAAAATCACAAAGCTCTTAGTGTGGCTCTATGATGACTCTATCATTAAATACACTGATAAGCAGATAAAGTGTTACCTGGCTGTAGCCTAGGGTAGTTTACACTGGCCCCAAAGCCACCCCAGGCTGATAGGGGGCCAGTGTGTGCCAAGACAGGCCAAACAGAATCCCTCCCCCAGATAAAAAGTGACCGGGGTATATGATAAGTGGGTGGGAAGGGCTGGAGGAGAGCACACAAAACCCCTCTGGTGTCATCTTTGGAAATGGATACAAACTTGTTGACTGTGCACTTCAGAATCTCTTTAAAAAGTTGCCAGGAAACAATTCGGGAAGAAAAAAAGGTATTCTTTCATCAAATTCACAGTTTTTCTTTTTTTGGGGGGGGTCAAAGTTTAGGGGTTGGTAGCCTAAGGTATCCATGAGCCGTTATTAAGAGGCATTTTAAAAAATGTCCATTTCTTCAAAGTGCATGTACTGTAACTTAAATTTTTAACAAAACTAAAGAACTCAAACAAGGAACATAACGCAATGGACTGGAACATTTTAAAAATGAAAGTCTCAGTGAGTAGGCCTTTAAACAATATAAATATTTCTAGAAACAGATCTAACGACAATTCCCCTTCCCGTGTACAGTATCTTTCCCTTTATCGCAATAGGCTCATGTTGATCAAGACCACCTGTCTGGTTCCCAGCTTTTGTTACTAGCCCATTAGAAAAAGCATTATTTTCAGAGGATCCGATACTTGCTTACAATTTTAAACAGACCATGACATAAAAACCTGGAAGTGAAGCTTTTGGTACTGATTTCTATGCATTGCGCACATGTGACAAGTGTTCACATGTTCCGTACGGGTAGGAGATTTATTTTCCTCCTCTAATTTATCAAGAGATGTTTGCAAAGTACCGTTTTTACATGAAAGCTTGCCAGTTCTTCATTGGTAAGAGAAAATTTAACCCGTTTGAGGTGGCTGGTTACAAATACACTGGGACAGTTTACATTCGACTA